CATTCCAGGTCATTCAAAAAGAAAACAGAGACCCAGCTCTGTGAAACCATCAACTTAACCTTACACATATATGTACACATTTGTGATAGCTTAGACACACAAATACCTAGAGAGAGAGACAAAGACACAGAGAGAGAGACACAGAGAGAGGCAGACATTAAAATGAATTACTCATAGGTGATTTTCTTTTTAAATTTTTTTGAACAAAATCTCTGCTAATGTTCCCCAAGACTTTCAATGGTTTCTTCTTTCAGAATGTTTTTTCCTGGAGATGGTCATTGAAATAAATGAAAAATGGCCAAGCCCAAGCCAAGTGTAGTCTTGGCTGTAGCTTCCTTGGGAAGTGCTTTGTGGGGAGGCAGCGGAATGAACTGCTCTAAAAGTCACCAAGACTTGGCACTACCTCATTTCCATTTCTCTGTGCCTGGGCCACAGCCTTCCTGTTTGCTTGCATAAGGAATGTCGGGCGGTAAGAGGGAATTACTCTTTTAACGGCTAATGTTAATCAACTACTGAATATTTCTTTCCTTTAAGCATTTCTTAAGCACATTTTCTGTTTTGCTCCACGATGAGAAAAATTGTCCACACTACGGTGCCACGTTCTTGCAGCCCAGCCTTTTGTATCAACAGTGTAGCTCTAGCGGCCTCACAGTCGCTTGTCTGCTCTTTGGTAATGAGAATCTGACTCTCTGAGCCATGCTCTGCCACTCAGCTGGCATTCTCTGGCCTCTCTTGTACCAGGTGGGGTCAAATGCCCAAGTTTCAACAAAAGAGATAAGTAACACCCAAGAAACGTGCTCACGGAGGAGGAAAAGTACCCTTTCGTCTCTTTTCAACTGACTAGGATGCAAAGACTGAAGCTGGCACAACCATGTCGGGCCACAAGAAGGAAGCCCAGTAATAGACTGAGAGCAGGACTGGATATCACACCAACTCCGGACTATCCACCTATCTTTGGATTTATTTTACCTTAAAAAGAAACAGTTTTATTGAAGTCATCGTTATTTTAGGCTTTTGTTCACATATAACAACCCTAAAGTTATCTGGCACAGTATTCAACTTGTGCTTCCTTGGCAACCTATCAAATTCTACCCTCGAACCAATCGATGCTGTTCTACAAAATAGGATCTTTAAATTCAGTAACACAAGCTTATGTGAAGCTATGTTCCTCCATCCCACAAGCCTCAGCGGCAAGCATGGCATTATCTTAGAATGACAGCAAAGGTCATCTTCGCAGGATCACAATTTTCCCTATCTAGAAGGGAATGAACCATCTAAAGAGATCATCAGCTCTGATAATGTTCAGAGCTATTTTATACTCTTCACTGGCCTCAGAAACCAATAAAATATTTATCTATGAGAATTATACAGCATGAATAGTGCCAGCTACTCTCAGGTTAGTAAGTTTCTTTTTTTTTTTTTTTTAATTTTATTTAAAAGGAAAAAGAGAAAAACACAGAACAAAACAAAGCGGTGTAAGGGTACACGTAATACAGAACTACAAAAAAAAAAAAAAAAGACAGTAAGAAATCACCAGTTAATAGATTACATATTATCATCTTAGAAATAGTTGCTCAAATCACAATATCAAAGAATACAAAGTGGACATTCAAACAGTGAGACTGCAAACAGTTGTGTTCAATGATCCAACCAAAAACATTAATATGGTCAGCTATTTAACACCCCTAAACACACTTGCTGTTGTATCCTTTAGAGCTCTTTTTTTCCCTCTCTTTTTTACAACAAAATTTTCACATTTTGGGTTTTATTACTCCTTAGTTCTTATTACTTTTTGGGGGGGGAGAGAATAAAGTCAAATATGGCAAAACAAAGCTGTCAGTCAAAACCAAGGATAGACATAGCACATGATGTAAAACAGAGTACAAGGTTATCAACAATGGTTATCAACGATGTCTCTTGTTTCCTTAAAAAGAATTGTCTATCTCATTAGATATTATAAAGTTGAACAAAACAGAGGAGAACAAGACCAATAAAACTTAGGCATTGTAAACATTACAGGATGTCCAAAGGAGACAATAGTCAAACCAGAATGGGTATCTTAGTGAATCTTATTGCCTTCAAAGTAGTTGCCTATACCCTCAAACTTGATACTATCATACAGAATGGAACAGAGTCTAATCAGTCAAAACCAGATCGTGGGAATATTACAGGACTTCAAAACAAGTTAATAGGAAATCAAAAAAAGTTACTATTATATCTCCTGCTAATTTTTTAAATTTTTCCCCTTAATTAAAACTAACATAAGAAATAACTAAATAATTTTTTTTTAAAGAATAAGGGAGAGATTGAGATAAAGCAGGACATAACAATATAACAATACGGGTCAAAGCATGACTGTTTCAGCAACCTAGTGCTTCACCACCAAATAACTCGACTTAATAGTAGTTACCATAGTGTCTGTCTTTTTTCCTTGAAATATTTGAATAAAACTTCATATACTATAGCTTCAAATATTTCCATATCAAGAAGCCCAGAATAAAGACTTTCCAATTAGGTTAGTAAGTTTCAATTGATAGCACCACTAAAGCAAAGTAACTCAGAGCCCTGTTGGTTTAAGCTGGTTTTCCCTCAGCATAGGCTTACTCTTAAGACATATTTTAAACTCAAATTCAGACCCCCTAGACTAACACTGGCTTTACTGTTAGGCGTTTCTGTTAATGTCATTGGATTAACCATGTTATTTCTATTACAAATTACTTTTGCAGATCACTCTGAACACGTTAATCACAAGTTGGTTCTGTCCAACACATCATCAAGCTTCTCATCTTCCCCCAGTGTACAGAAAACATCACTGTGGTTGTGGTTTGGTCTCACCTTTACTATGTCAGGGCTCAGAAGAATCTGGTAAAAGGCAATAATATCTTGAAGACTAACCAAGCAAAGTCCAAATGTCTATATCAGGTTTTTAAAAGGCAGAAAGTCTTTGTAGTCTTACAATCATGCAAATGATAATTTGTGCTAACCTCCATAAGCCAATTTATTTATATCATACAATTAGAAAGTCATCATGGCATTATTAGTTACATTTTTAATAAAAGATATTTTCAGGGTCATAATTTATAGTATATAAGTAAGAACTATCTCACTCAAATTGTTAAGTATGGAAAAAATTCACAGCAATTCCTAAAGCTGTTTGATACTTGGGAAGAATAAAAACATTTTATTTTGTCTTAAACCATTTCTTGTACTAACTACTTATGACTTAACCCCAAATGAAACACCAAAGGATAACTTAATTATATTTTCTATTAGAATAAGGCTTCCAAATATCTCCCTAGATTCCTTTATAGGACATCTTCTCTATCTGTGGTTAACTGCTGGGCCTCCTGACCACACATTTCCATAAGGTCATCCTAACAACCAGTGCCATTCACTCCACACCAAGTAAGGATGCTCTGTGGGGATGGACAGAGAATGGACCAGAGTGTGCTAGCTTATGGTTCTTCACAAAGATGGTCTGAGTCACTCCATCAATTTATGCACTCAGATGTGAGCACAGAATTTGGCACCTGCCACATAGCACGCATTCAACTGTGCCACACAGTTTCTCTTATTAATATCAGTTGTCACCTTAATAGCTAGCAGTTGATGACTAATGACAACCATTAAAGAAGACGTTTGTAAATGGCAATACAACAAAATGTATATGAAGCAAAATAACAAATTCAGTAAAATGATGAGTATAAAATGCTTTTCATTTTAAGGATGACTTCATCAGTAAACATATGTCTCATATCTTCTTCTGAGAAAAAAATTAAGAGATGTTTTAAATTGTGTCACTATCTCTTTAGAGTTCCTTGTTCTTTGTTATTAAAGTATCTTTACAGCTTCTAAAATAAATTCATGTTTTAAAGATCTGACAGATGGTTCAAAGACAAGATACAAAGGATTCTTACCATGTGAGTATCCAAAAACCCTACAGCTTAAAGGTAGGTGGGAAAGCAAACAGTGCCTGAGCAACACAGAGCTCATGATGATCTGAGAACTGAGAAATTTACTTCCCTCACACACAGCCCTATCTAATGCCAGGACCCCTTTGACCCATCCGCCCACCGTCTTTATCAGTCTCTTCCTGATTATGACATGAAATGAATGTCCAAAGATAGAATGCAAATGCAATGAAAATATTCACAGAATGTGCACTATTACATGTAAGTAATGCTGAGAAATTGTTCAAATCACCACAGCGCAGTTCTTGATAAGCTGATAAATGAAGAGATGAAAGTTGATCAGGATGATGTCAGCGTGGCTGCCTCCACCCTTGATTTGAAAGATATATATAATTTTCAAGAAGTTGGAGGTTGTTCTCATTTGGACATGAAAAGTTTCCCCAAGGCTCCTGTTTTGAAGACACTGTCACCAACGCAGCAACACAGGAATGTGAGGTGTTGCATCCCGTAGGATGCGGGCCCTCCTACAGGAAGTCAGTCAGTGGGGCACCACCTGGAAGGGTGTGTCTGGTCCCTGGTGCCATCCTTTCTCCGCTTCATCCCTGCTGTGAGGTGAGCGGCTTTCCTCCACGACAGCTTTCCATCATGCTGTGTCTGCCTCTCCACAGGCCCAGAAACAACGGTGAAATCTCTGAGGCTGAGAGCCAGCATAAACCTTTCCTCTTTAAAAAGTTGATATCCTCAGGTATTTTGCCACAGCACAGAAGCTAACAAAGAAGGCTTTTGAGAAAACAGCGATAATCTTGAGTGTTGTTGCAAAAAAGACCGTCTTTATAATCAAGGAACAGAAAATGAAACGTAAAAAGGAAAGTGTTTTGTGTCACACAATTTCAGATTTTTCTTAAGTTTTTATTTTGAAACAAAAAAATGATATTGTTATCTTCACAGTAGTTGCTCAGATTACAAGATACAGGCATGAAAAAATGATCAAGTAATGAAAGCATATTTCTTTTTGTAAGCTTAGCAGTTCAATCACCTATTTCTCCTTCCCCTATTTCCCCATCCCAGTTGTTCTTTCCTTTTGAGCAGTTTCTTCCTCTTTCACTGGTCAGAATATCTATTCTACGTTTTGGATCATATTTAGTCTTTCAGTTTTTTACACTACAGAGACAACACAATGTTTACTCATGCGAGTCTGATTTATTTCACTTATGAATATGGTCTCAAGTTGCATCCATTTACCTATAAGATAGTAGGAATGCCAACAGTGACCACCAAATAGACGGGGAATGACACCGATGGACGGTTTCGAGGTTGGTTTCTAGATTTTCATCTTCACAGAGGTCAAGAACATAAACAAAAACTCACGTGCTAGACATTCCTCCCCACCCACCCCCACCAGGGGAGGGAAGAAAAAGGGAAACTGATGAGATCTTGATTGGATATATAAACCATTTTCCACAAAAGTTTACTTTTTATTAAAAAAATTGTCTTTGTACTATCAATACATTTCAATACTGAAGTTTAATGATTTGGGTTAATATCAACAAAACATAAGGAGCAAAAATTTTCATGAAACTCCACAGATACTCTGTATTTACGACATTTATTCCTGTATGTCATATATTTTTATACATGTCATATGAAATGAATTGAGACATTTTTACATGTAGATATTATTTAATATTTTTGACATAATTTTTGTACACTTTTGTGGGTACAGCGCTATAACTCAGTGTGTGCATACAACGTGTATCAAATCAAGATGACGAGCACGTCCACCTTCTCAGACATCTTCATCATTTCTATGGTTGGAAACCCTCAATCAATTTTCTTCCAGTATTTTTAAAATAGACAAGTAACTGTTGTGGACTACAGTTGCTCCACGGTGCTATATAACAGGACAACTTTAAACCCCTTAGCCCACCGCGAACTCTGCTTCAGTATCCACAATCTATCCTCTCACTGTCCTCCCTCCAGGGACCTGTATTCGAGTCTCTACTTCCATGAAACCAACTTGAAGTTCCTACAAATGAGTAAAAACACATGGTATATGTCTTTCTACACCTGGTTTATTTTATTTAACACACTGTCCTCTAACTAGATCCAGATTGTTGGAAGTGACAAAATTTCATCCTATTTTATTTTGCTTTGTTTTATGTTGAGGCAGGGTCTTGCCAAGTCACTAAGTTGGACGGGCTAAGTTTAAACTTGTGATCCTTCTATCTCAGTCTGTCAGGGTGCTTGGATTACAGGCATGTGCCACCATACCTGGCTTGGATTTCATCCTTTCTTATGATTGAATTAAGATCATGTGTTACACACCACATTGTAAATCCATTCATCAGTAGGAGCATCTCGATTGATTATACAGCTTGACTGTTGTGAACGATACTGCAACAGAGATGAGTGTGCAAACATCCCTTTGATATAATTATTCCATTCTCCTTGGTTTTATATACACTGATAGGATTGCTGGATCATGTCGTAATTCTGTGTTCCATTTTTTGGAGGAATCACCGTCCTGTTCTCCAAAATGGCTTTACTAATTTACACTACTACCAATAGAGGGATATATCCAATTTTAAATGTCTGTGCAACTGAGTTGTATCTAAAAGGCAGCAAACTACATCACACACACACACACACACACACACACACACACACACACAATTAGCTGTGTTTGACACAGGGATGTGGCAGAGATGACCCAAGAAGAATGTAAAAGAAAAGACGATCCCCAAGCTATACAAGTATTTAAGTACAGGCAAATAAAACAGCCAGAGGAGGAAACCAAGAAAAATAAGAAATCATTCAGGAGTTAGTACTGAACAGGGATACAAATAAAAAGGAGACAGAATCCACTCAGATTTCATCACTATTAAAATCAGGTGGTTATTAGATGGAAGACAAAATGCAGTCTCCATATGCATAATTTATCAACACAATCAGGCGAGGGTTTGCTCATAGTAAGGATCACAGCCTACCAAAGAAAGCACAGGTGTGCTGACACACAGCTGGCAGCAAAATGACACGAGAGATGTCACATCTCCTGAGCACGACTAAGTGTCACATTTCATTGAGGAGCATCCACAGAGGATTGCTCCATTCTAGGGCCAGAGCTCAGAAAGGGAGAAAAACATCTACTACTCCCCCAGGTTAGAAGCTTATCCTCTCTTTGTTCCTACATAAATCCATGAACATCCTTTTGTCTATCCCTTAGAAAAAGTCCATCACTGAAAAAGAAAGCAAGCTTTGCAGTGAAAATAACAGCACAAATAATAGCACAATAAAACTACACACATAGCAATTTTACAATAACTATTATACCAGACCTTTCAAGATCAATCTGCGAGTGCTTTAAACTGCTTGAAAAACTTAAAAACTGGTCACAACTAAAATAGTATTTTAGATGGTTGGCTGAATCTGAGACCATTATTTACATGACCAGTCACAAACACAGTCAGATATTTCTAGTTTACTCTGGTGCCTGGCTTACAGAGAGTGAATGACATGACCTACAGGACTGCGTAGCTGAAATGAGGCAAAATTTTAGCAGTTCTACATATACAGCCTCATTTAAGACCTCAACTTGGGAATCATCAAAAGCAGAATCGAGGATGTTCTCTCTGAGGAAAGCACAGGCAAACCATATTGTTCTGATGCAAGAGCTGCCTGAGTGGATCCTCTATAGGGATCCACACACAGGTGACACAGTGAGAAATCATTCTCTTGGAAAAGCAAGGGCCTTCAAAATATTTTCACTTCCCGTTTCTTTCTTGCAAAAGAAAAGGTTTTTAAAATGTAAATGTAAGATAACAGTATGTTGTTTTTGTTTTTGTTTTATGGGTACCAGGGATCGAACTCATGACAGCCTGCTTGCAAGGCAGGTGCTTATGCCGCTGAGCTAAATCCCCAGCCCCTAAGATAACAGTATGAACGGAATATGCACAGCTATACTGAAAAAAATAAAGACAGAATATGCACAGCATTGCACAGGCCTGTGGGACAGCATGAAGGAGAAAAGGTCCGAATCTCAGAAATACTTCAATTTACACATCATCAACAACGAAAATCTTATGAAATATGACTGGTACAAATAGCAGAATTTGGATAAAAAGAAAGTTTGGGGTTTGCTTGGGTTTTCTTTAATTTTTTATTTTTTACTTCTACACTTTACAGCTATTTCTTGGGAGATCAAAGGAAACCTGTTTAACCTAAAATCTGTACTGTTACCTTCACTGGATAAGGCAACACTACTGTCTATTAAGATTTTGTGATATTAGAAAATTTCCAAGGGGTAAATTTGCCAGTTCAACATGGTAAGAATATCTGATATGGATTTAACACATGCATCACTGCTACAAAGCACAAGAAGAAATCTTGTAGTTGTATACAGTCCTTCCCCCTTTTGGTTACAGTTTCTGGTTCACAAGCATTAAAGTATAAAGGTGTCCTCAGGTCTGAGTATACACAGCATACACACACACACACACACACACACACACACACAACACACACACACAACTGATGGCTGATTTTACTATCAACATAACACAATAATTACTTTTTTTTAGACACGAGTGAAGGATGTTTTTGTTTGTGCATTAGATTCATTGATGAAGTCACCCCAGCCCTGGGAATTACTCACTGGCTAAATAAGTGGCTGTCACACCAAGGGAATAGCAACCATTGTTTTTTCCAAGACACATGGTAATAGGTGTTAATGCTATTTATTTTTACTTAAAGGTTGAAGATAAAAGGAATTTTTAAAAATAAATTCTGAGATTTAAAAATCATAACCACTTTGTCTGATTTATAAAAAACATCTCTGTACCTATCTAAATACAATCAAATTTCTATTCAAGGGTATTGTTACTATAATTGCTTTTTTCCCCAACCTGCTTCATTCCCTTCCTGGCTCCAAGGGATCCAACAGCAAGCCCTCTGCAGTAGTAACAGAAGAACCTCTCCAGTCCTCTGAGACAAGGTACCACAGTTTCTCCTACTCCTGTGCAAACTGCCAAACCCAGACAGGGAAACAAATTGACATCCTGTAAGTCACAAGTCACCGAAACAATTGGCAACGTTTTAAAGAGCACTTCATGTTCCACACCAGGAGAAAACAGTGACTGGTTGGTCCTCTGACTTAATAATTGATTTCTTTTAATTCAGCAATTCGGGGGAAGCACATTCTCCCCCACAAACGCTCATAGTGAAAACAAATGATAGAAAGCAGAGGCTCTCCTGGGTCCCAGTGGTTTGCCTGGAACATGCAGAAATAATGTGTAATTTTAAAATACTTGACTTTACATACACCTCCTACCATGTTCTTTCTGATACGTCTCTCTGAAACTATTTAGTTGGATGGCTGATCAGCCCATGTGTGAGGGCACCCTATTGCGTCTTCAAAATAGTGAAAGGAACATTCTGAGCCTGTTGGTCACCTCCCTCCTCTGGTGGAGGGCTGTCTGTTGCCTCGTGTCTGCAGGGCCACCAGTGGGCCACCAGCAAAGGCTCCTGGGAGGTAGTCTATCCACCAGCAATCTATACACCCTGCAAGGCTCTGGGCTTTGCCTGAACCATCCCTTCACCCCTATCTTAGACTCTTCCCAGAAAATTCTCCAATGCTGTAAATACTCCTGTCTTAAGCCACTGAGGAGAACCCAAAAGGCTGGGCGGTGAGGTGTCTTTACAACCTCTGCCAAAAGCTCCTTAGCCTACCACAGTGGTCTACGCCTGAGCAGAGACAGGAGGACTGAAAGTCAAGGACTGCCTAGATTACATAGCATAGGATTTTCTCAAAAATAAAATATTTTTTAAAAGCTGTTTAGGTTGGGGAAGGTGCTGGTGGAGGACCAGCATCAGCAGACACCCAGTGGCTACAGGCCAAGACTCAAATTCAAATTCTCATCAGGTCACATCACCTTTGCGACCCTGAGAAGGTCTAGCTTCTTTAAAGCCTAATTCCTTCGGCTGTAAAACAGACATAATGAGCACAGCTGTCCTCCAAAGGTTTCCATGAGGATCAAATGGGATGGGGCGTGTAAGTCCTTGGCGTGGTACCTGACGTATCATAGCAAGGGCCCAAGAACTACTGTTACTGTTTGCCTGAACTGTACCTCCTAAGTAGATCCATGAATGGGATTAATAAAGTGAAATGTTTATGGACATTTTCTTGGGTTCTTCCAGTTAAAGCTGTTATCAGATTCCAATCAATTTAAATCAAATATTTAAAACTTGGCGCATGGTTCTTTCCCTGGAAAGGCTGCTCTTGATGCCTAGAAACTTCAAGTTGCTGAATCAAAGTTTCCTCATTCTGCTACTTCTATTTCAAAGGAAACTGCTCTCCTCTGTAAACTCCTTTTATAACAAACAACCATAGATTGAAACCATGCCTCCAAAATTAAGAGTTTAAGTGCAATGCTTGCTCCTGGCTACCTGTCTAGATCTACTAAATTAGGAGTCATCTACATCATCTCTCTCAAAGGGTGCATGATATCAGAGTTACAGTCAAAATATTTTGGCAATGTTTGTTGTGCCAAACGTGTGAATCATGCCCTCTTGCTAACGGAAGCTGCCGTAGGTGACTACAGTCCCTCACACAAAGCCTGTTGCTTTCTGTTCCTGCTACTGAAGCAGGGGTGGGTGGCTGCAGAGTCCACAGCTGAGGCACAAAGATAAAATGGGCTCTAAGCCCGTCTCCTGAGGGTTCTTAACTAGAAAACACTGGAAGGATGAGGGGTGAGATATAAGAAGGGAAGCTGTTAAGGAGGAAAGTGACTAGAAAGGTAGCCATGAGACAAGTGTCTATGAACACTAATAGAAAGGAGACAGTGGCGGGGTGCAGCCTGTAAACTGACACACCTAGAGTGGGAAGTAGGGTGTCAGCAAGCAGAGAGAAATGCGGGCAAAGAGATGCTGGACAACCTCTGCCACAGGCTTGGGGCGCAGGGCCCGCAAGGGCCCCAGACCCTCGCTGATCGTTCCAGAAAACCCTTTAGGCTCCCATGTGTGCTAGGCCCACTCCTCTGGTTCCTGCCTCAGATTTCTGCAAATATATTTCCCGAAACACGTGTGCTTACCCGAACACACCCGTGGCCTTCCACCTAAGCGTCACACAGAAATGCACCATGTATTTCTAACACTGTGGAGACCCAGCCTGTCACAACAGTATCTGATGCCTGGAATATTTTAAAGTGAGGTCGGTATTAGAGAGCAGAAAATGCACCCCTAACTACCTCCATGGCTTTCTTTTATAATATACAGTTTTGTATTTCATGACAATGTTCTTTCTTCTTCATGTCACACTGTTCAATAAAAGTCCTTCGTTGTGACAGCATTCAGTCATTTCTAAGAAATGAAGGGACCATGTGACTGTTTTGCTCGTGTCAAGGTCATGCTGAGTGGATGAGAATGAGCTCGGTGGGAATTTTATGCGCTGGCTCTCCTGCCATTACACTCAATCTCCGGGCCCTCGAGCCCTTGGCCCTCTGCAAGATTGACAGGGACCAGCACGTCTGCTTGGAGAAGACCCCATTTCCACTTCCTGCCTTACCCTAGCTAGGGAGTCTCTCCTCGCAAAGGGCTGCCCCTACTGTATTTTGAATACCTGTTACATTTTATTTACTTGAGAAAATGCAAGATACTTGCATTTTGCAGTTCACAAGCATTATAGTAGAACAAATTTTTAAATATGTTTCTGAGACTTTACGTAGTATACCATCTATATTCAACAGTGTTAATTTCATAAAATACATAAAAATTAAAACTGCCCCCCCAAAATCAAATTCTTTCTGAGAGCTACTTCTTTGATGAATAAAGTCAAGGGGAGAAATGTATACACATTTTTACTTATCTCTAGAATGTATAGTGCCATCACGGACATTCACAGGGACAATTAGATCAGCTATTATAGGTCAAAATCTTGGGCAAAATGCCAAATATTAACTTGAAAACTGCCTTTGAGGTCAAATGGAAATTTTAATAGAAAAAATTTAATTTACTTTCATAAATATGAATAAAATATGGAAATATCCAAGTGGATTTTTGTATATATGTTTCAAAGAAATGAAATGTATTAACATTTCCCCCATTAATATTGACTTTAACTGGCTAATATAGCACAGAACGGTGCAGTATTGATTGAGGCAGGATGTTTTTGGCTGCAAGAAACTAAAATCCTCACTGCTTACACCATTACAATATTATTCCACAAGGGGAAGAACAGAGATGGTGCAGAGCACAAGATCAGCTGGGAATTCTCACATCAAAAACCCATCTGTGACTCGGTCAGCAGCAATCTTACACTAGCAGACACAGTTAGCAATTTATGGAATGACCATCTCACACATGACCACGTCCAAAGAAAAACATTTATGAGTTTTTTGTGTGTGGTATTATTTTATTTGCTACAATATGTTTATTCCAAAAACGTCAAACCTATAAAAGGTTATCAAAATTAAAAACTCTTATGCCCTTCATTAACATCTATTAGTTATTAACATTATACATTTTGTTTTTGTCTCCTCCATAAATGTACACCTAATTTTATTATTATTTCACTATCATTTGAAACTATGTTAGAGATGTCATGTTTCTTTACCCCTAAATACTTCATTATCTATCTCCTAAAAACTGGAACAGTCTGATATTTACTCTGGACTGCGTTGAATAGTACCCACTCCCAAAATTCATGTTCACCTGGAACCCAAGAACATTACCTCATCTGGAAATGGAATGATGAACTATGTGATTCTATTGTGTTAAAGCATCCAATTTATTGTATTTTGTTATGGAAACCAATGCATAAGTACCCTCTACACATAAAGTACAGGAAATTCAATATCAGTATAACACAGTATCTCAAGTACACCCTATATTCAAATTTCATAAATTTTCCCAGTAATATTCCTTGTAGATTTTTTCTCAAGCCAAGTGCTAATTCAGAACTACACATTGCATTTTGCTGTCATATCTCCTCATCCTTCCCTCTGACTCAGTCCTTCAGCCTTTGCAGGCACTGACAGTTCTGGTGAATATAGATTGGTCTGTATTATACGTGGCAGGCATGAATAGATGGCTGAGGCCTCCATTCAACAGTCTATTTCTTTTACCTTTGTCCTTGCTAAGCATGCTACTACTACTAACAACCTTTCTATTTTTCCACTCTTCCTCTTAATCTATTAAAAATGCTACACTATAATTAAAGGCCCGGATTAACACCTATGCCAATCACAAATCTTTTATTGACTGGATCAAATGATTCCTCCCTCTCCCAGAATTATAAAATAGTTACTATTTCAGTGTTCATTTGACATCTAATGATAGCCTGACTTTATCATCTTTTACTACCACTCAATATGTATATTACTTGAATTTAATTAATATTTCAAGTAATTTATTACACAATTAAATGCTTGGTTCTCATTGACTTTTCAGCTTGACATGGATGTGGCACAAAAGAAGAAAATAAAGAACAGATCTTTCCATCTCAAAAAGTCAGTCATTATAAATCAGTAATTATTTCCCTAAGAACAATTATTCTTTCAGATACACAGCTGATGTTTGCTCATTAGGCAAAGGCACTCCAGAGAATAGGATCTGACTCATAAATAAGAGCTAAGGTGGTTTTATTATCAGCTTTGTGGACTAAAAAGTGGTATGATCCTGTTATTCAGAATGAGGAAAATGAAGCAATTAGACTCAAGCCTTACTAATTCAGACTTACATTATTGAAAGTGTATCTGTCTAAAAAGAAGTTTGATTTATAGAATATTTCTTAGGAAATTCATTTTAATTTTTTCAAGTGCAAAATTATTATTATTTTTTTTTTTGTCTTTTTCCTTTTCATCGGTACCAGGGATCAAACTCATGACTACCTGCTTGCAAGGCAGGCGCTTATGCCACTGAGCTAAATCCCTAGCCCCGCAAAATTATTTTTTAAAACCAAGTCATAATGAATTGCTCATCTGAGAATGAATTTATAGGAGTGGTCTGTAACTAGCATATCACAATCAGAGGTACTAATTAAATAGAAATCTAATGGTTCAGGATCAAATCTAAGAATGCTCTGACTTCCTAGCTGTAAGCCAGTCTTATACTTTTCAGAAAATATTGTATTACCACAGTTTTGCCTTGGCTAATTTTATTTGAATTTGGTATGCTTGATAGTATCAACCCTAAAAATAGAGGCAACTACTCTGAAGATGACAAGATGTAAAAGATATCCATACTGGTATTGATTATTAACAGCTCTCAAGTCCTACAATGTTTTCAAAGTTGTGTTTTTATAAAAATAGCTAGGTAATACTATGTTTAACTATATTAAGCCCAATGATGTGGACAAATCTATTAAAAATAACAAGAGAAAGCATAGTAACTATGGTAGATCACCTAATATTGTGGTCTTATGTGTCTTTTTTCATTGCATGTTTTTCTAGGAATTTGTTTTGCTGTCTTGTTATGATTTGTTTTTCCCTATAATACAGAGAGGATAGATATACATGTAGAAATTCACACATGAGAAGATTTATTTAAAAACTATTTACAGGAACAGATAATACAATGTAAGATGTAATAAACAGATACTCTGAAGAAGAGACACTAAGAAACCCAATGCTAATTTTGTAGCATTATGATATAAAATCTAGCAATACTATTATTCACTGTTCAGAGTGATATTAGTCTAGTCTCTTAGGTTCAATTTCAGCATATGTAAAGACAAGGACAGCTACTACGAAGAGAATGAGAGACACTATGGTAGTTATTATTGTCTTCCCCAATGTCAGATCCTGAAGATCTAAAAAGCCTTCATCATCCTGTAATGATTTGATTAGTTCTATAATATGTAGTATGTATTTAATGTGCGTGAAGATGGGGACAACTATTTGGAAGAAACTAGAGACAATTAGATAAACAGTGAAGATCTCCAGTGGACTTGCTTTGAAATCTGTATTTCTTTAAATACAGATTTTTTTAACTGTTTTGTTCTGTTATGATGTGTTTAATCTTACCCTCTTTAAGATAAAAAACAAGTGTGTAGGACTGATAACCATATTACTAAGTTTTTGTTAGATCACTGAGCAGAACTGTTGGCAGTGTCGCTATTTGAATGTCACTTTACATACTTTAATTTTGTAACCTGAACAGCTATTTCTAAGATGACAATATGTAACTTATCAACTGGTGATTTCTTACCATTTATTTTTCTGTAACTCTGTATTATTTCTACGCTTTTTAATCTCCATGTATTTTTTTCATTTCTTTCTCTTTAAATAAAAAAAATATGCTGCTAAAAAAAGAAAATATTGTATTAGTTTATTAGGTGATTTTTCTTTCCCTTTCAGAGTAAATTAATGGTTTCCTTTTGGTTTAAAATTCAGTCCAATTCCCTAAGTCAAATGAATAGTCCACGTTAGCTTATAAACTGGCGCTACACACACTGGAAACTGCAGATCTGGCCATTTACTCTGTGTAAATAAGAGATTCATCATGCTTTGAAGTAAGCTGCCTTATTCTTTTCTACTTGTGTGGATGCTGTACCTATTCAACTTTCACAGGCACGCAAATCAAACATCTTACTAACCCCTTCCGAATTATCACAAATAATGGTATCTTCTGAATCACTATCAATTTTTCCATTTTCCAGTGCATCTCTAAGTGCATCTCTAAGATATCACAGTGCATCTCTAAGACATCCCAGTGCATCTCTAAGACATCACAGTGCATCTCTAAGACATCCCAGTGCATCTCTGACATCCCAGTCCATCTCTAAGACATCCCAGTGCATCTCTAGGACATCACAGTGCATCTCTAAGACATCCCAGTGCATCTCTAAGACATCCCAGTGCATCTCTAAGACATCACAGTGCATCTCTAAGACATCCCAGTGCATCTCTAAGACATCCCAGTCCATCTCTAAGACATCCCAGTGCATCTTCAAGACATTGCAGTGCATCTCTAACACATCCCAGTGCATCTCTAAGACATCTCATTTTTCAACTCAAAACTTGGGATATCTAGTTTTTGAAACAAAAAATTTTCTCTGCTCTATTAATGTACTATAGAGTAAAATAAACATGACATCACATTCAAATACAGATTGAGACTGGTTCTCTTTGATGTCTCCTTATGCCTATTCTTACACAAAGTAACAATTTAAAACCTTCTGATAAAGTGAGCCCAGTAAAGACTTCCTGCCATCACAAATTTCAAGGTCTAGTCTAGGCATGTTCAATTTTGACATTTTTTTTTACTGTGATCTTGCATGCTTCTTTCTTATTTAAAAAATAATACTGAATTGACTACACCATCAAATGTAATGCCAAGCAGTTTCTTCATTATAAAGAATGTCCGGCCTTTTCCATGATAGCCAAAGCCTTCAGACTCAGCCACTGTAATCTTCCATATTAAGAGTAAGTCCTCACCAGGATGACCTCCCTGAACAGCACAGAATACTCTGTAGTTTGCGTTGAGTCTCCCTTGGTTTCTGGCCCTGTGTCAGGACTCAGTTTTGCTTCATCTCAGTGGGTTGCACAGAGCCCAGAGGCTGCTGAAATTGGTGTAACACCAGCATTTAAGGAAGACCAGTCAAGATGATCTTACAGGAGAGCAGAAGAACAGGGACATGGCCCAGGTCCCCTTCTGTTTGACCCTCATCTTTTTTTTTCTTTTTCCTTTTTACCGGTACCAGGGATCGAACTCACGACTGCCTGCTTGCAAGGCAGGCGCTTATGCTGCTGAGCTAAATCCCCAGCCCCTCGACCCTCATCTTAATAACTTAAGATCACAATACAGAATATAGAAATAAGATGCCTCCAGACTGTGTTTTCAGTTTTACTACCTTAATGGACAACTAGTGTTACAACAGAACAGTGATAAAGAAAAATAGATTTTCTTTCAACAATTTAGACATCAAAATCATAATTTTTGTAAATAGTCTTCCAATACTAATTGGCTTAAAAAAAACACAAGTCACTTGGCAGGTAGGGAATGTTGTGCAGAGTTGATTTTGGGTTTTGGGTTTTGTTTTTTTTTTTTTTTTTTTTTTCGGTACCAGAAATTAAACTCCAGACCATGCCATTTGCCAGACAGGCACTTGTGCCACTGAGCTACACTCCCAGAATTTTGCAAGTAATTTATGGGGAGGGTTTTGTAAGAAAGAAAAGTGAGTGCATGAACCAAAAGTTTTTTCCAGTGTCTTATGTGAGTCACTGTCCGTGCTGCTCTGAAGCTGTGTAACTCATCATAGTCACCATGCTCACCCCCATTAAGATGCTTTTATTGAGGTGCATGCTGGAGGAATCCTCTCAAGCTCAGAGGAGAGAAGGCATAGAAGCAGTTCTATGAAACCTACTCCCTCTCTGTGATTATTCTTAAGCCAGTATGGGAGCATTATAATTGACTATCCGTTGAAAAATGTCATTATATACATTCAGTATCCATTGTGAGAAAAGCAGGTTAGAGGGACTTTCCAAAACTCTCAATTACCATAACTCACGAGCTCGAGAGCTCCATGTATTGTAAGACGCACCATTATTTTATAGATAAGAAAGAGATAAACGTCAATAAAACTGACACAATGCTTATTCTATACACACATTTTTATTATGTCACTTTTGGGTGTACATATGAAAGAAATAGCAGAACAGCAAATTAGTTAAGAATCCTAACTTTTTTTCATACTGGAAATCCAACTATGAATTGTTTTGCCACCAAACAACTCAGGCCCATGTTCCCCTGTACAATACTACCTCCGCACAAACAGTGCAGCATTTCGCGAACTGCTCCATCCATCAAGTATCTGCAGACTTTCCTTCCAAACTGCAAACGCACATTTTGCAAAGTTTGCTATTGGTACTCCGGACACTCACATTTGTCCAGGCAATTGTAACTTCATGGCTGGGAGCAACTGTAAGACACCATCACTATAAGAAACCATTCTATATTCAAAATTATTCAATTTGAAACATACATGTATCACTTAAAGGTGCATTGCTGAGACAAACTACCTGAAACCCCCAAGTTAAAGGAGGAAAGGTTTATTTAACTCAAAGTGGAACTTTCAGATTAACTTTATTTACAGTGTTTCTTTTAGGCAGATCTACTCCAAGTATGATACTTTTAGAATACTTAATAACTACCGCTTGATTACTTGAGATACAGACAAGTCTTTCAGTCTCCTGCTTCCTCCCTGTGACCCGCCTGGTAGGCTCCACCCTGAAGTGCACTGCTCTGGAAAGTTGCCTTGATTATATGGTGTTTCCTCCTCAGTGACTGAAGGGAGGCAGGCGAGAGGCGTAAGGTGGGATCTCTGAAATCCCTTCGATTTTCATATTCATGCAAATTAGTAAGATACCTACTTTCAGAGCTTTTGATTTGATTTGGGCTTTACTTTTTTTTCTCCTGAAAGCTGTAAGACATTGGAAAACACAGCACGCTCTAAATACCACAACTGCCAACCCCCCAAAGTGAAAATGTGCACTAGTTTAGTAAGACTGTATTATGTAAGAAACTGTCAAAGCCAGTGCTGTCCCCTCCCTTGTCCCATAGCTGGAATCTGTGACAGTTTAGAACTCCCTAGAGACCCTAAGGGCCAGCCAGCTTTTTAAAAATTATGCTTGTCTCATCATGGTATGAAATATTTTGTCTATTTTGTTTGTTTTAATTTTGATTACATAAAATCCCCCGGGTTCATCTTTTTTTATAACTGCAATTGAGTAAAAATCTTATTTACTAGCATATAACTACAATCAAATCCAATTAAAAATCCAGCATAAAAGTAACCCAAGTCATAAAGCATAGACTTTTATGATAATTACTCATTTACCTGCTTAAAGTGCAGTGATTTAAAAGTTGCATTTGAAATTGAGAATGCTCTTGAAATGGGAAGTAGAGGTTATGAAACAATGCAAATGTGCAAGAGAATGATTAAAATTAATTATAACCTGAAACAGTTGAGAAATGAGGCAGATACGCCACTCACTGCTCCTGAGAGTCCCCACAACGAGTTGATGATGGAAGAATTCCCTGGACCACAGTTAATGAATCCATAGTGATAAGCAATAGTCCATTGAAAGAGCAGAGGCTGTTTCTTTAAAATATATGATTTTGGTTATGTACAGACGTATGAGGCTCACATCCATGCCTCTCATGTGAAAATGCATAAGAAGTATACAGAGCTATCTGTCTTGGAATAACATTTTATAAAACCAATCAAAGCCAGGAGGACTGCTGCCAGAATCTTTTGAAACTAAAAAGGGACACATTGGCCAGAAGCAATGCAATTTATAAAGCTCCATAAAACAAACAAATAAAAGTGACTGGTCAAAGCTGTCTTCAAGGCTGGTTATAGAATCTCTTCATCAGGAAAGCTCGCATATTGAGAGGAAATTTGTTGAAGCCCTAAACTTGAGATGTGGTCAAAACAGTTTCAGAGAAAAGAAGCAGAATAACCAAGTTGAAAGGCATCACTGTGGAATGACACAGTTCCCATGTGTTTGAAAGAAATATTTAACTTCCGCTTTCAAGGCAGTAGAGTAAAAACCTTGAAAAGGAAACCAGGAGACCATGCTAAAGGCAAAGCTGTAAACCGATGCCCTGCCTGAAAGTCTGTCAAGTGAGCAGACAGACCGTCAAGTCCTCACCCCAATGGGAGAGCTAGTCCACTCTGCTCCTGGTCATTCCTTACAGAACGCCAGAGGTCAGTCTTAAGAGAGACTGAATCTTAGGTGCCAGGTGGGTCAGAACCACTTTTAACACACGTGTGCTGTAAACGGAATACTGCTACAGCAAACCTATAAACACATTAACATGACTTCTAGGTTGACCTAGCAAAAGGCACTGCTAAAAATTTTTGAATAACTTGCTTTGAAGTCCTGTAATATTCCCACGATCTTGTTTTGACTGATTAGACTCTGTTCCATTCTGTGCGATAGTATCAAGTCTGAGGGTATAGACAACTACTTTAAAGGCAATAAGATTCACAAAGATGCCCATTCTGGTTTGACTATTGTCTCCTTTGGAAGTCCTGTAATGTTTACAATGCCTAAGTTTTATTGGTCTTGTTCTCTACTGTTTTGTCCAACTTTATAATATCTAATGAGATAGACAATTCTTTTTAAGGAAACAAGAGACAATGTTGATAACCATTGTTGATAACCTTGTACTCTGTTCTACATCATGTGCTATGTCTATCCTTGGTTTTGACTGACAGCTTTGTTTTGCCATATTTGACTTTATTCTCTCCCCTCCCCAAAAAAGTAATAAGAACTAAGGAGTAATAAAATCCAAAATGTGTAAATTTTGTTGTAAAAAAGAGAGGAAGGGAAAAAAAAAGAGCTCTAACGGATATAACAGCAAGTGTGTATAGGGCTGTTAAATAGCTGACTATATTAATGTTTTTGGATCATTGAACACAGCTGTTTGCAGTCTCTCTGTTTGAATGTCTACTTTGTATTCTTTGATACTGTGATTTGAGCAACTATTTCCAAGATGATAATATGTAATCTATTAACAGGTGATTTCTTACTGTTATGTTTTTTTTTTTTGTAGTTCTGTATTATGTGTAACCTTACACTGCTTTGTTTTGTTTTGTGTTTTTCTCTTTTTCCTCTTAAATAAAAAAAAAAATTTTTTGAATACAAGGTTCAATTCTTATTTTTCTTCATGAGGGAAAATCCTCCATATTCATTAAAAAAAAAAAGCTAGATATACTGAATAAACCCACTCTTTGTCTTAATGACACAAACTGACTACAGGGCACAGGGGAGGAGTGTGCTGGGGATTGAATCCAGGGCTTTCACACTGAGCTACATTTCCAGCTTGTTCAATTGCTTAATTCCTTTCTTTTCTTTTTTTTCATAATTTCTTTCCTTTTTTTTTCTTCACTTTATTTCCTCCCTGCTTGCTTGCTTTTCTTTCTGTCTTTTCTTTTCTCTCTTTCTCCTTTTAATTTAACTTTTCAATCACTAAATTGCCCAGATTGAGCTTGAACTTCAGATCGTCAGGTTTCCTCACCCTTACAGAATGCTGAAATTCTAAGTGTGTGCTTCCGTAACAAGCCAGAATTGGCTATTTTACACTCAAGCAACAGCTGAGAGAAAAAATAGCAAAGCTGGTTTTTTACACCACACAAGTCAGCTACAATAAAAGTAAAATGTGAGAGTTGGATGAGAATCACTGATCATAAGGACTAGGACTAGGAATTATTTGGGACAGCCAGATCATGCATGAGAAAAATTTAAAATACAGGAAAAATGTAAAATATGATCATCAGAATTCTTCTGACACTGACAGTCCTTTGAACATGTGTTTCTAAGATGGGAGCAGAAACAGACCAGAGACCTTCTGACTAATGATATACTCCTTTGAAAAGAGAGAGATTCCCTGAACAGGAGCGTAAGGACCCTCCGTCTCCCCACTTCTTGAAACAAGATTTTAAGCGTCTCCTCTAAGTGAGTATGAAGTCTCTTCTAATGTGTTTCTGAAATGTAAAAATACTGAGACCAAGGAAGTGCCTGGAACATGCACCCGATGTTGGTATCAGCTGCTTCAGTTCTATGCAATTTTTCAAATTTGGTAAGATTCAATTAAACATCACCTTTCTGTTCCACCAAGACTATCAGGAAGTCCATTTTGTTTTCCTTCTTCTCAATGGTAATTAACTTTAAATACGAACTCCTTAAACAACCTTGAAAACATCATAAAATAGAATGCAAACTTTGCATAAACCTGGAGGATATGCACAAGGCTTTCAAAAATCCCACTTGACGCTCCCCTTTCTAGAGCCTTCGGTGTTTGCATTTACACCGCTGCCACGGAGGACTCAGCTGGACCCTCCTCTTTCCATTGCACCAATCTGAGGGGGACTCCGAGGAGCATACAAGCAAAATGACTTCATGGGCACCCCTTTAAGTCCTCCTTACCCTACAAAGGAGCACTTATTCTTTCTCTGAGGAACAGATTCTATCTTCCTTCAAAATGTTATTCATTTGTTCCTATATTAACTCAACAAAAATACACTGCTGCTGTAATATATGCCCTAATTTGTGACACCTTATTTTTAGATTTTTTTGTACCTCTGAAGGTTCTCTAGAAGGTATTCTTTCCTTCCCTCATTCTGTTCAGCAAATATTTACGGAATAGTTTTTGCAGTAGATACAGGTTTCTTCCAACTCAATATATCTAAGAAACTACAGGATTAGAGGAGGCTTGACCCCTCCACCATCCAGCTCCAGGGATACAGACAACATCTCTCCAGTTTAGTAATTATTTCAGGAGTGGGCATTTGACCCACGCCAAGCTAATCAGAGACACCCCTAGGGCTTTTTTTGCAACAGCTTGAAGGAGAGAACCTCTTATTTCTGTGCTCAGTAGTTTCGAATTGTTGGTTGTTCTAATTGCCTCCCCATGGAGAGTCTTCCTGGGAAAGCAGCCAACCCAGGGAAGCTCGTAGAAAGAAGCAAAGAAAGGTAGTTGTGATGACACCATCTGTCCCCTATGTCCTGTCATGCTACACCTAGCCACTGCGTTTCTCTTCACAAGACACAATGAAGTCTGCTTTCTGTTTACACTGCTGTGAGCCAGAGTTCTGTCTCTTACAACCCATGGGATGCTACACTCCACCCAGAGTCAGGTACCAGACAAGCCTGTAGGGCTAGAATGGCAAACGACACAGTGCGTATGCATGCAGCTTCCACAGCAAGAGAAAAAACAGACATGGTGTCAGTTAAGAAAGCCAGCTTCACAGTCAAAACTCAAGTTCAGAAATAAGCTGGTCTATTTATTGGAGGTGCCACATTTGATTGTTCCCAACTATAAAATGGTCCTAACTATATCTACCTCTCAGTCTTATTCTAAGAATTCTAGATTCTAGATGCAAATCACTTTGCTGAACTCCCAACATACCGTGACTATTAATAGGGAAGAAAACATGGTTGAATTCTACACACAGCATTCCATGTAATTTGGCTACAGAATTCAATTCTCTTCCATCCCCTTCTTTCCTGAAATAGGGCAGGCATTCCCAGAATAGTGTCTTTGCTGCAGAAAATGCTGCTTTTCATCAGCCAAGAGTCAACAAGCTTTCCCTCCACGATGGCTGTGTGAGGTACGCACTGTAATAATGAGGTTATCACTCTGGACCTTACTGTTTCCTCTTATCACCCTGCCATGCCAAGAGAGCAGAGCCACACACAGAATAGACATTCTTGAAACTAACCTGAGGGCTCACAGAGTATTTCATTTCTAGGTGAACTCTTTAGAGAATTTCTATTTCCAGATTTAAGGTAGCCTCATTTCTAACTGCAGGATGAAGGCCTGGGAAAACTCTTTCTTTCCTGACTTATTACAAATTAATCAGGCTTGTCCAATCGATAGTCTGACCTCTTTTTCTCATGTTATAAAAATATATAAAAAATAAATATTTGTTATGTGGTTATTTGTGATCCAAGACAATTCCTCTTCACTCAGTGCAGCCCAGGCAAGCCAAAAGATTGTATTATTTACATTGTAGGCCTTGCAGAGGAAGTCACAAGTACACACATACACATATACACACACACGTAGACGTGTGTACATGCATATGTATGTACGCATGTATGTATGCATGCATGCATATGGGGTTGGGTAGGGTTGCCCCTAAAAGCTAAAGAGTGTAACACAAAAGCATCTTTTTAAAGGCAACTCCTAGAACTCACCCTCTGGCAGTAACCTGGACCTAACAGCCTTGCTGGGACAGGGCTTTACCACCAAACAGTCAAAACCTCATCAAAGTAATGGCCACTGTCACTCCTGGTAGGTGCCTTGTACACCCTGGATGGTTTTTATTTTCATCATGTGATCTCGTCTTACACATCCTGCACTTAAATTCACTCAGTTTCATTAGTTCATCTCGCAGCATGCATTTAATTGTCTGCCCTGTCTGTCCACATGTGCTCATGTTTTGGTCCGAGATGACATCATAAAAATGCTAATAACACTTTTATCGATCATTACCACCATTTACTGTGCTTTTTATGTGTCAAGGCCTTGAAAAGAAGGCAGTATTATTCCAATTTTGCTACTTAGCTCTGCATGCTTTCTGCTCATAGTATAACTACAGTTGTATGATTCATGTAATTATCTCTTTCATGTCTGGCTTTCCTACCAAATTGTCAACTCCATGAGATCAAGGACTGTTTTTCTTTCACTCATTACATTATTCCCATCACCTAGCAAAGTGCCAGGTGCACCTGCACATGATAGACACACAAAGAGTACTTGCAGAATGAATAGGCATTGTTCAGAGAGTGATACTACGCTTGAAAGGTAAACATATTAGGTCACCACTAATTAATCAGTGGCAGAATGACAGGACAAGCCAACCTCCAATATCCAGTCTCTTTCCTTTCTCTTATTTATCTGAGACTTCAGTCTTTTGACTTTATTTTATGAAAGAAAATGTACCAAGATAACCAACTGCCACAGTGCCTAACCGTGTGTTAATCTGAATAAACTGTCTTGACGCGGAAGCTGATATTTTGGTTTAAATGAACTTTATTTCTTCCAACAAGCAGTAACAACAAAAATGTGTCCAGGCAGCACACTTGTCACACTACGATTCAGATCTGCCTAAACCTCTCTCCTACAGCTCCACGAATGACACAGCTGTTGTGACAAGAATGCTTTCTCAAGGGAGACATTGCCCAAATGCGATTACCTGGAAATGACATCATGATTTATGACACAATTTTCTAAATTCTAAAGCTGCAATTTATAATGAATCAGACAATATCCAAGAGGGACCTCCTTTCCTCTAAGTTGGAAGAAACCTGTATTATTCAGACTCTTCTAATATTTTGTTTAGAAAAAGAATCTTCCTGCAAAATATGAAATGTAGACAAACTCAAATGTTTCCTAATTTGAAAACAACTACTCAGAGAATTAAAAAACAAAAAGGGAAATAAAATAATAAATTATATATATTTTCAGGATTCTCTAGAAGGAGTAAAGTAAAAAAAAATTGTTAATATTCCAGAAAACATCATCCATTTAAAAAAACTTTACTGATACATTTTCCCCTCTCAATGAAACAACAGAATAAAAGTTACTAACATGAGCTACTGGTGCAACTACAAAATAAACCTTAAGATTTATTTCTAACAGTGTATTTCTCACTTAGAATTAAACTCGTGATAGATTCTGACATAATCACCAGGACAACAAAATTAGTATTCTGTAAAATATCCAAAGGAAGTCTGTAACATTAATCACACTATGGGTTTTTAATCCTCTCTCATTTTGAATATCTGTTCCTGATGGTTTGCTATAAATATACTCTTTAAAGGAGGTAAGTGTACAGAGCCTCATTGGTAATTTGATCAGGATCTAAAATATAGAGGGTTTATTTTTATTTTGGGCTCGATCCACCAAGAACAAATATATACTGTTCATTTGTTGTTGAGGTATAGAGAAGCCTATTCAGCTTAGTTTTTAAATAAACATATCATTTTATTTATTTGGCAGAATCTTAACGTTCAGAAGGCATTGAACCTACAAAGGGATCATTCCCCAGACAGTGAAGTCCTGGATTTGAAAGTGGAGAGGAGACGGGGGTGCCCACAATCCAATGCTGTGTGGCTGAAAGGCATTCAGAATCAGCTGCAAGAATAGAGTTGATACTGGCTTTGAGCTTTTGGCCTAAAATCAGCAATTTAAGCCGGGAGAAAATAAAAGCGTCTTAGTGGACAGCAGTTTTTGGAAAGTAGAAAGTGCCCATATTTTAAGTGGCAATGGGTACAAGAAGAGCAGATAAGGCCTGAGCTGGGGCTGGAGGGGGGAGGTGAAGAAAATATTCATGGGAAATTAGAGATCCGGTAGTACTCTCAGAACTAGTATTTTTTTTTCTAACTACAATAAACCACAACTTATTAGTAGAATGGAAAGGCTAAATATTTCCACCATTACATTCATAATGGAAGAATGTAAAAGTCTGATGAACTGATTATAAGCTCCCATTTCTGCCATCTATCCTTAGAGTCTACTTTCCCGCAGATCTCTTAGACCCCAGTTTGTGTGGGTCTCTGGTTTACAGGCTTCTGCTTTGGCAAACCAGCAAAGGTCCTGTAAAAATATATGGCAGTGTCCTACCCTGCCTGGTGAAAACACCATGGCACATGAAAGGAGCCCGGATGTGCCATCAAATGACACCACGCACACGCTTTGTGCAGTAGCATAAGTACTTTTCCTCTCCAGACCTCCTTGCTGAGGTTGAGCCCTCTTAGGCTCTAACATTTAATGACTGTGGCATTTAACGCTGAAGTCTAATCCCAGTGCAGCCCTCTGCCGAGCACAGGAACCACCACAGCCTTCCCTGGGACCTGCAGGCTAAGGTTAGGCAGAGCAGCCCACTGCCTAGCCAGACACAGAAAGGATCTAGAAAGAAGCAAGGAATACTCAGAGGGAAAAGTCCTCACGTTTAGGCCTTCATAAGAACATGAAAATAGGGGCTGGGGATTTAGCTCAGCGGCATAAGCACCTGCCTTGTAAGCAGGCAGTCTTGAGTTCAATCCCCGGTACCGATAAAAAGTTAAAGAAAAAAAAAAAAAGAACATGAAAATATTTACAAAGCTGTACTGTTGGAAACAAAATCACCAATTAACTACCATATTACATTGCCTTAGACTTGAAAATAATCTTTGATAGGGATAATATCTTTATTACTTAATTTAATTATAGTTCTTAGGAGAGACATTCCAGAAACGAGCAGCCCTAAATAATTCTTTTGTTTTAACTCCCTTTTGACCTATTCATTTATTTGCCATTTATCCTACATCCAGGAGAAGGGGGCTTACATATGGCTACGCATCACTGTGTAATACAACAAATGACCCTTTACACACACAAAAAATCAACTTTTCCTATGTCTGAGTTCTAATAACTTCATTTGAATCTTTAGGAAAGGAAACAAAACAATAGGCAATCTTCCAAAAACAGTTTTACCAAAGAACACAAAAACATTCGTCATATATGATATTTTACATGGTCTCATTAACCTCTCCTTTGAAAATTCACCCTCTAAAAACAAAGGCCAGGGCAACACATACAAGTCTACTTCCTGTGAATTAAAATGCTATGCAATTAATAATGTGCCTCTGTTTTCATTACCATTCGTTTTTATGTCTGATGTTAGTGGAAATAAAGTAGTCTTTTAATTCTGAGTGACTATTTTCTCAAAATAATCATTTTTGTGACCCTGTCAGTGCTTCCCAAAACCTATTCCCTGAAAGAGTAATTATCTTTTTTTTCCAGATTGATTTGTGCATAAACTGGAGGCAGCCCAAGAAAGTGTGTGAATGGTGGCTACTTCACCCTAGCATGTCTCCAAAACCTCTCATCCTGACATCCTACCCAAGCTTCTCAAGCCCACACCCGCTGGACACTTGTCCTGGACCTTTTTCTTGCCAGATTCAGTGCTTGGCTAGCTGTAGGACTGGAAACTAAGTTGGAAGAGGAATCTTTGCCACAGGGCTTGCCGGTGACAACTTGATCCGTGTTGCCCTTACCAAAGATAGCTACTCTTGGGTTGGAACAATCTACTCCCTAAAAAGCACCGTAAAATGATTAGGCTGAGGAGGCTGACCTGATAATTCCACTTTGAGGATATACGCTAGAAAAACAAACCAAAAGAAGATCTTTAAATAAAGATGCCTATCTTATTACCCTAAGAATAAATGAATACATAAGTAAATAAATAGAATCAAGGCAACTTATAATGATGAAAGGTTCAGTATATTTTGGCATACTGGCATTGTTAACACTTTATCTTGCAACCAGTACATCTACAAGGTGACCAAGTTCTAAAGTTCTCCTGTACAACTTCATGCTAGCGTTAATAACATTCTACGGTATATTGAAAAACTTTAAGGTAGATCTCATGTTAAGTATTCTCACCACCTTAAAGAAGACGGTGCATATGAAAGCACACAGTCTTGCGAGCTAGATACAAACTAATGCTAAATAAGAGAAGTAGAACATCCTTAGTAGTTCTGCTAAGTATGCAGCAGAACACTGCTTCCCTATGCAAAGTGTACAAAAACAGACAAAAGTGCAAGCAAACATAGTTATGAACACATTATAAATTAATCATATTGTTTTTTTCTACCACATCGATTCAGGACATAATGAAAAAAATCAAAATAGTAGACAGTGGGAAAGAAGACAGATGCTCACTTGCACAAAGGACAGGGTTCATGTGTTCAAGGATCACTCAGGGTCTCAGCCCTTCCGGTGGTCAGGCTTTACCACGCTTCCACTCAGAGAGGCAGGGCGCACTGATTACTTCAACAGAGCTAGCCAAACAGAACCAGACAGGGGTCAGTAATTTCTACCAGCGGAGCCATATTACATTTATATTTGAGATGTGGCTTCAGTCCTTTCTTTTTCCCTTGATATCTGCCTCTATGTTTTTTGTCTACACTAGACAAATAAATCTGAAATTAATCATATACTGTGCAGAGCTGTCTCATCTCTATTACTGCTACTTAAGGTTCACAACTCCATTATTACAAAAGCATTCTTTCTCCATTTGAAGTACAAAAATAGATGACAGAAGCATGCTAATTAGTGTCCTAATCCCAGCTCAAAATAACAAAGCTTAGAAAACAATTCTGGCAGGTCACCATTGTAATACCCAAAAATCTCAAACACATATAGTGCTTTAAACTACATAAAATGCTCTCGTAAATATTAGTTTATGACACCATAATATTCTTATGTTAGCTAAAATTCAGCTTAGCTTATATTATAAAAGAGTGTCAACTTTTAGCAGCCTTGTAAGTGCTAGGACACACTAGGCAGTTCAAAGAATACTGAGAAGAACTACTCATTTCTCAGCTAGAATATGTAAAATGACACCAGTAAAGCTGGCAGTTCTGTTAATGTAAAGTAAGGTGGAGGGACATCAAACGCCCCATAAAATCTCATTATTTTTCAAATGTCCTTTTAATGTTTACGTATTTCATGGGTAGAGATGAGGGAGCACAATTCACTCTATTAATAAAAGTCTGACCGAAGTTGAATATAAAGCGGTTACCATTCCTAAACACAATCTCTTTTCCACCCTGCTATAATTCAGCAGTCACTTATTCAGTGTTTACAAAAGGTGCCAAGCGCCAAGCTGCAGAAAAAGATGAGTGAGTGATCACTGAGGCGAGACTGCCAGGTGGTCCTATCACGCCTGGGACTCAGCTGAGCTCTTCAGGCTCTGGGATGACTAAACACACAAGTTTACTGCCTTCCCATCCAGTTCCCATCCCAGTTACACTGAGGGACAGAGACAGCACAGAAGCACAGGAGCAGAGACTGGGCAGGGAATCGTTGACACGAAAGAATAAAACACATTTCTAGAAAACTGGGCCAACAGAAGCAGGGTCAAGGAAGACCAGCAGAAAATACACTTTTGGGGGAGCTACAGCCCAGAAGGAGCTGACCTTCCCTGAAGAAGTAGAGTCAGACGTGAGAGGCAGAAATGCCAGGTGTTTCGAAGATGATGGATGGCTGACAACAATCAGCATGAACAAAAACTCACAGACCAGAATGCTACGGCCTCGCCCCCATCATCCCACCGCCAAGGACTGAACTGCCAGGTATCTGAACCCCAGGCCAAAACAAGAATATTTATCAAAACAAAGCATATAAATCCTCTCTTCGAAAAAAGTTACCAAACAGCCAGAAAAATGAATTTTGAAAGGCCCAACTCTGATTGCGTTAAAACGTTCAGAACACCGAGGATGAAAATTCCCTGGCATCTTCCAGAGAGCAAAATGAAGCCATATACACAAATGAAAGACGAGACAGGCATCAGATTTCACATCAGAATCACATAAGGTAAAGATAATGAAAAACGCCTTTCAGTTACACTAGGGAGGTTATTTTTGGTTCAGAAGCCAATTCTGGTCAAACCCATAATCTGTAGAGTAGAGTAAAGATATTACCGGACACACATCAGGAGAATAAAGTTACGATGGGACATGTGTGGGCAAAGAATGCATAAGGTTTACCCTTCAATCTCCCTTCTTAGGAAATTACTAGAATATTTTTTCAATCGAAGTTATATGGTAAACCAGGAAGAAAAAGACATTAAATTCCCAAATCTGGATTCAGCTAAGACGAACAACGAAGGTTCACGTCCGCTTACAGCTGTGCAGTTGATCCAGGGTCAGTCACCCCGGAAAGAAGCAACAGGCAGACAACGAAGTCAGGGACTCCCTGTCACAAAAGAGATTCCACAAACCTGATCCATCCTGAAGCATCGTGAGACCTGAAGACACTGGATAAACTTAAGGAGGAGATAAACACAAACAAAGAAATAACAGGCTTGTAAAATCCTTAATCATTCTATATACAAAAGGAAATATTCTAATACACTCTTTAGCGTGTCAATAACTAATATTAATTTGTCATCATAATGTAAAACTATTGATTTTCTACTTTTAAATTTTAAGCTCTGAAGAAGTCACTTATGGTTTAATCATGGGTAAAGAACAAAACACAGGCATTATCAAAAATTATAAAAAGATATTATAAATTGGAAGAACATAAAAGGAAGGGCTACTATCAATCATATTTTACAAAATGAGGAATCAAGAGCTGTCATCTAGAGTTGATGACACAAAAAGAAAACTATCAGTGGCATATAGTAAAAAACTTAAATCACAGAGGAATTCTAAAAAGCACCAGAATAGTTATGAGCAATGGGAGTTTAGCAAATAATAATACATCGATAAGCCGGGGAGCTTGCTCAGTTCAACAGCATACGCACCTGCCTGGCAAGTGCGAGGCTCTGAGTTTGATTCCCAGTACAAAAGAAAAGAATAAAGAAATCAATAAATAATAACTAAAGTTGATAAGTAACAGCAGTATACATTTTCATATAAAAAGTGGAAAATATTTTTGTATGGGTTTATGTATCAAATAAAGAATTTTCTAGAAGACATAAATAAATGTGAAAAGCTTTTTATGCTTTGAGGAAATTTTTCACTGTACATATTTTTGTACTTTTCATCTTCACCATGTGACTGTTACCTTTTCAAATAATTAAAAATTAAAATGCAAAAATATATTAACAGTATTGTAGCAATCATCCACAAAAATGCACAGATGATATAAAACTAGTTCTTTGTACAGATGGAAGACGTCACCATGGAATTTGTGCTTATGATTATAAACTCACTTGCACCATAGTTTGTAACAATTTTTACCAGTTTTGATTGAAAAGTATATTTTTAAAAAACTTTCAGATGGAGAAAAAGGTGTCCTTAAGAAATGATGCCTTTAAGAGGTAGCAGTGGTCATCCAAGAATACAGAGGATGCCTCTGCCCCTCACAACCTTCCCTTCCAGATTTCTACACTGCTCCCTCCCCACCCTACTCCCAAGATAGTCAAATAACAACGGTTTACATAAAAGATGTTTTGACACTAAAATAACACTGAAATATACTTAATGCCTTAAAGACTTAATAAAGTTAAAGAAAATGAGTACTTTTCCTTTAAAACTTCTATAAATGAGGCAACAGAGGTAAATGATTGAACTCCTCATTATGAAAACTTATGAAAACAAATGAAAACTTACATTACTGTATCAGCTTTTATAGACAATAGTGCTAATCATAAAATCTTTTATCATGCATAATTACTAACTGATGACAATATGAAATATGTCTCATGTTACTGACAAAGTTTTTTTCATATAAATAAAATATAAAAATATTCACAGTGAGAGTAAAATTAAGTTTTGAGTCCCAGTGCAAAGAGTGAGTGTCTTTGTGGACCTGGCAAGGTCACCTCCTTTCATTTCTTATCTATCAAAGAGTTCAGGTACATTCAATAAACTCTAATATACCTGCCCACTGTAGTCATTTTTGTTTCTCTGTTTTAGTTCTGTGGCTTTTTCCTTTTCATCTCACTTGCTGGTTAGTAGCGAAGGACCAGCTACTGGACATGACTCGTTCATAACTATTAACATCTTGATATGGGGAATCACATCAGTTCTAACATTCAAGCCATTTGCCCCAAGTGAGGATGCTAAAGCTTGTCCAAGGTGCTGCCACTAAATTGTTTGATGCAATCAGTTATGTCTTGGAGGAGGGGGTAACCCAGGGGTAGAGCACTTGCCTCGCATTTTCAAGCCCCTGAGTTTGTTCCTCAACACCAGAGAAAAGAAAAACAGAATCATAAAATATGTGATCATCTGTGTCTGATCCCTCACATATGTGTGGGGAGAACACAGTGAGGAAATAACAAGGGACTGACCCAGTCCTGGGCTGTTGACAGTGCCGGGTGGAGTATTCCAGAACATAACAGTGCAGTGTGAAAAAGCTCCAGTAAGATTATGGTGCTAATGATGGGACACAAAACGGAGTAATTAACTCTGCTCAAGGTTGTGAAAAGAAACGAGGAAAGATAGAAGAGAATGCTGTGACACATTTTAGGCTTTAGGTGTGAATTTGGCTTTTATTCCTGTGAAATTACATCATGTTAAATTTGGCTCATTAATCCAGTTTACTGAGATATTGCTGCCTGTCATGGTTTGTGTCTGGTTGTCCCCCCAAAGCCTCATGGAGTCATGGAGGCAGCTGCCTCTAGTGTTTGTCTGGTTCACTGTGTACTACGAGGGCCGACAAGTGTGATTCCTACACCTGCCCGGGTGGGCAGCTGGCATGCAATCTAAGGGAGGGAAGGAGTGTTCCTTCCCTTTTGCCCCTGGCCCTCTGTGGCTTGTGGCTGCCATAAATAGCTGCCCTTTAGTCACCCTGCCTTGGAACCAGCTGAGTATGGGCTGAAACCTCCAAAAACTGTAAGCTAAATAAACCTTTCCTTTCCTCATTTTGGGTGTCAGGTATTTTGTATCAGCAACATGAGAAAAGAAACCAAGACACTGCTTAACCTTGACACTTAATCCAAGACACTGGATTAACCTTGATTCCAATCTGTGTCACCTATGTGACTTTCTAACTAAAATACCGACTCAAAAGTGGAACAAGGAAACATAAGAGGGTAAGCTGGCCAAATAGCATGGTCCCACCAGAATCTTCCCTACAACACAGGAACTTCACAGCCAACCACAGGCAAATGTACCTTTTTGAGAGCTTTAAGATGCAGGTAAGAGATTGCAAAACCTCAGTATAGTCCAAGACATAGGAAGGCCTTCTGAGAAGGCAAAACTGTGCCCAGGCAATGGGCTCACAGACCATAGAGCAGTCACCACTGGCTCACATTCCCTGTGGACTCAGACACAGCCTGGCTTGTTCTTGGTCCTATTATCAGAACCATCCTCCTGGGAGCTCGAGGAGTTACACCCCTGATGCCTTCCTTGGTGCTGACTGTAGAATATAAAGTCCTTGGGAGTTCTTGCTAGCAGTGTTCAGAGTTTCATCCTTCCAATGGTACAAAACACAGGAGCAGAGTCACCTCGGTAGGCCTGCCTTACCTCAGTTACAGCCACAGAACCTGGAACATCCCTCTCTCTCCTAGCCTTTCTCCATCACTGACCAGAACAAAATTATGCCTACCCAGAAGCCCACTCAGGAACCCAGCCTTCATACTCAGCATGCACATTCATCTGCAAATGGAAAAAGCTCACTGTGTGAAGACCCTTAAGCCAACCTCCATCCCAGTACCAATCTAAGGGTACTTGAGACCATATAATTCACCTGGGGCCCAACTGAATCCATGTCCAGTGGAGCCCGTGGAAGGAGGCCTGGAGCTGAGCAGCTCTCTAAGGATATGCCAGAAGCTGCATGACTCGGCTCCAACCCCACTCAACTGTGGTTCAGAAGCAATTCCATTGGCCTCAACCTAATGGAGAAGCCATCAAAGAGCATCTAAAAACTATAAGAGGTACTTCAGATGCACAAACATCTAAATAAGGCTGCATAGGTAACTCAAAATTAGGCAAACATGGTACCACCAAAAGAGCCTAAAAAGTTTGCAGCAACCAAAACAGTAAAGACCTACAAAATGCCTGAAAAAGCATTCAAAATAATCACCTTACAGAAGCTCAATGAGATATAAGAAGGGAAAAATACACAACTAATAGAATTGGAAAAAGAAGGTATGAATGAAAGTAGCTCAATTAAAAATTATAGCAGCTATAAAAAAGAACCAAGCAGATAACCTAAGCTAAAGGAAATAATGATAGATCTGAAAAATGTAATAGAAAACTTCAACAGTAATCTTGATAACGCAGAAGAATTATCAAACATGAAGGTGGATCGTTTGAAATTAGCCAATTAGTTGAACAAACAAAACAAGAGACTGGAAAACACTAAAGAAAACATGAAGGATCAATGAGACATTATCATGAATATGAATATGAATATGCAAATTATGGGAGTTTCAGAAAATAAAAGAGAAACAGAGAGAAACAAAAGCCTAAATTAAAGAAATACTGGCTAAAAATTTCTCAATCTTGGGAAGACACAAACATTAGGAATCATATTACTAAAAATATCCCAAGATAGATCAACCTGAAGAATTTTGCAAGGTGCACTATAACCAAACTGTCAAAAGTCAAAAACAGAGAATTTTAAAAGCAGCAAAAGATAAGAGACTCATTGTGTATCAACGAACCCCACAAAAGGATCCACAGACTTTTCAACACAAACATCTAAACCAACCAGGGACTGGGTGATAATTTTAAAGTCCTGAAAGAGAAAAGATCAGCCAAGCACACAGTACCCAGCAAAGCTGTGCTCTACAATAACACAGGGATAAAGACATTCCCAGACAAAAGACAAAGGGCTTCATCATCACCAGACCCTGCCTTTCAGAAGCTGTTAAGGAAATGAAATGATATGAATTAACATTTAAAATTTAAAAATTCAATGGTAACAGTAAATATACAGTCAAATTCAGAGTACTCTCACAGTAATGATGGTGTATAAGTTACTTTTATTTCTAAAATAAAAGTTAAAATACAAGACTACTAAAAATAATTATTACTACAATAATTTGTTAAAGGACACTCGATATTAAGAGACTCAGAAACAAACCCAAAGATAGTCAATTAATTTTCAACAAAGGCATAAAGAAGACGTAACAGGGGAAAGAATAATCTCTTCAGTAAATGACCTTGGAAATCTAGACAGCCACATGCAGAAGAATCGATTGAATCTGTATCTTACACTATTCATAAAAATCAACTTAGAGTGGGTTAAAGATGTAAAAGTAAAACCTCCAATCCTAAACTCCCAGAATAAAACAGGAGAGAAGCTCCAGATTTCAGGTATTTTTCTTTTTGTGTTTTGTTTTGTTTTGCTTTGTTTTGTTTGGTAAGCCACCAAAAGCACAGTCCATGAAAGTGTCTTAGTCATTATCCTCATTGTTGGAACACTATATCCAACAACTACAATTTAAAGAAGAAGAAGAAGAAGTTATTTTTGCTTGCATATTAGCAGTTTCAGTCGTTGCATGATCAGCTGGTCCCAGGCCGAAGCAGCACAGTGGAAGGGAATGGAGCTGAAAGCTGCTCACTTCATGGCAGCCAGAGCAGAGCATGAAGCAGGAGGAGAAGGGGACACACACCCCAGGTTATGCCCCCAATAACCCATCTCTTCCAACCATATCTACCTCCCAAAAGCAAGTCAGCTCTAATGACCCATAATACAATCACCTTCCAAACAGAACTTCCCATGCTTTGTGGTACACTGTAGAACTAAACCATAACAAAAAGCAATCTCAATGAATGGTATAATACCAGATTAAAAAGCTCCTTCACAGCACAGAAAACAATCAGCAAAACAAAATGAAACCTGTGGATTGGGAGAAAATATTTGCGGACCAGAAATCTGACAAGCAGTTAATATCCAAAATACACAATGCATTTAATAGCAAAAGAAAAGCTTACAGATGAGCAGAGGACTAGAATAAACTTTTCTTCAAACAGACATAAAAATCGTCAAGTGGTATACAAAAAAGTGTTCAATCAACCTCACCAATCATCAAGGAAATACTATCACATTACACCTTGTGGTACGGTTTTGTCAAAAAGAGAAGAGTTAATAATCATTATGTTGGGGGAAATGGACATTGTATGATGTTGGTGAGAAAGCACATTAGTGAAACCTCTGTGAAAAGCAGAATACAGAAACCTAAAGAAATTAAATCTGAATTGGCATAGGACCCAACAATCCTTCTTGTGGGTATATACCAAAAGGAACTGAAATCACCACCCACTATGTTCACCATACTGGCATTCATGATAGCCAAGATGTGGAAATCACCTAAGTGTCTATCAACAGATAAACGGATAAAGAAATTTTAATATGTATACTAACACAATAGAATGTTACTGAGCCTTAAAAAAGAAGATATGGATATTTTTGGCAACAGAAGTAAACTTGGGAGGCACTTTGAGAAATGAAATTGGTCAAACAAAATAAAATTAATGCATGGTTTCATAAGTAGAATCTTTTTAAAGAATAATACATGGAACCAGACAGTAGAATGGTGTATATTGAGGAAGTTTAGTGGAATAATGGGAAGATATAGTGAAAAAGCTCACAAGGTACAAAGTTTAAATTGTGTAAGGAAAATAAGTGTACAAATCTAATGTGCTCCGTGATGACTATATCTAAGAATGTTATGGCTTGTGTCTAGATGTTCCCCCAAAGCCTCATGTAGTCACGGAGGTGGGCTTCTAGAGTTTGTGATGATTCACGGTCCAATGCTGGGATTACGGGTGTGAGCGCTAGGATGGGTAGCCTACATGCAGCATGAAGGACAGAAAGAGTCTTCTCTCTCACACTCCTCCCTTTTTGCTCTTGTTGCTTTCACTGTTTTCCATCACCATGAGCTGTTGCCCTCTGCCATGTGTCACTCTGTCTTGGAGCCAGCTGATTACGGACTGGAACCTCCCCAAACTGGGAGCCAAATAAACCTTCCCTTCCTTAATTTTGGGTTTCAGGTATTTTTGTCTCAGCAATGAGAAAAAAGTAATTAAGAAAAAGAGCATTTGCTAAGCAAATCAATTTTAGATACCCTTCCCACAAAAAAAGAAAGGCAGTTATGAGAGATGATGGGGATATTAAACTGTTTGAATATTATATTACTTCATTATGTATATCAAATTATTAGATTGTACACTTAAATATATTCAATAAAAATACATAGTACAAATCCTTAAAATGTGAAAAAAAATTCCCTCTAAGAATGCACTAAGCTTTAATTTTTTCATTTAACTATCATGATAAAAGCACTATAAACTTTATTTTTCATCTAGAAATTCTAGCAGAGAATTATAATCTGATATAACCTGTCCTTAATGAACCTGCATTAGACACTAGCTCTCTCCTCTGAGTTTGTATATGAATTGCTTAGAATTCCATTCTTAAAACTTTTCAAGGATGGGTATTAAGTATCTCAATCTTCCCCAGGGGTGAATTTATTTTCTTTGTCCACTTGGGAAAAAAATTAGAATTTTTGTCATTTCATGATTTCTCAAGGTCATTTTCTGTAGCTCTCTAAGAATCTTATTTACAAGGTCTCCCTGTATCCTGGAATACAACTGCATTAATGTTTGATGATTTAAAATCAGTTAGTGTTACATAATCCCTCATCTATCATGTCACTTACTACAAGGATTAAAATACAAAAACTCAACAAGAAATTAGTGTGAACTGCAAATGTTTAATGTTCCTCCATTAAAACAGAGACAGAGTAAATAAATTTTAAAAAATACTATGAATTCAAGGCAAGAATAGGATATAAAATGACAGCTTTATAGTTTCAATTCCTTGAAATTGCACAAAATGGTAATTTGCTGAAGTGATGCAGTAGCTTTTTTTTTCTTTTTTGAGGCAGGGTCTTGGTGTGTAGTTGAGGCAGGCCTTGAACTCACTGTGTAGCCCAAGGCTCAAACTCACGGCAGTCTCCTGCTTCTGTCTCCCAAGTGCTGGGATCATAGGGTGCACCACCGTGTCCAGCTCAGTAGCCATTTTTAGTAACTGTCACACACTAAAGTATTTTCAGAATGTGAATGTTTGGTTAGGCTTTGTCCTTGTTCTCTTCTGCTGCTCTCTCTAAATATCAGACATCCTCTGAGAACCATGTAGTGTTTAATGACTGCAGATCTGTCTCTTCATCTTATCTCTCATAAAAATTCTAAATACCTGTTTCTAGGAAACTATCAAGCTTCAAGGTCCTCAACGTGATCTCAAGGTCACCTAACACAAACTATAACCGGAAAAAGAATTCTCCCTCTTCCCTTTCCCCGTTTCTGTTGCATTTGTTCTTTCTCTGACCCTAGCCCGAAATACAAAACATCTCCCTTCCTCCCCTTCTTGCATACCCAAATCACTCACCAACTTCATCCATCTTCCGTTTGTAGTAAACCTTACACAGTGCCCACCTTTAAGTATCATGATCAGAATTCAGATTCAACCTCACCACCTCACACAACCTCTGCAACCCCACCCCTGCCTCATCTAGGCTTCTAGATCTCAACGTTTCCCACCTTCATGACCAAGGAAACACATCCAACTTTCCAAACAAAGTACTCTCTCACTAAGTTATTCCCAGGCTCCAGTGTTTCTAAAGTCCTCTCAGCTTCCCCACTGATGAACAAGGGTACCTGCAGTTTTTTCAAGACCAAGTGCTCTATTTTCTACTGCCTCCAAATCTGTCCTCAGACATGCCCAACTAGAATCCTTTTTGCAACTTAACCTAATAACATGTATTCTTCTTTTAAACATTATCTCTCAGTCAAAAACATTAAAACAGATAAAATACAGGAAGGAATGAAGCTATCTATATGGGGCTTAGAATGACACTGAGTCAACTGAGAAATTCCTGGGAATTTATTTACAAGACATTCTTCCAGGAACTTCAGAAAATAAGATTTGCATCCTGTTATGGCTTATGTGGGTGGCCCCCAAGCCTCATGCAATTCAACGAAATCTAGCGTTTGTGATTGGTTCATTGTCTAGCGCTCTGATTGGTGTTTCACCCGCCCAGAGGTGGAGCCAGGATATGATGTATAGGCAGGAAGAAGGTGTCTCTCTCTCTCTTGCAGTTTGGGGCTGCCATGAACTACAATCCCGCCATGCCAGCCTGCCTTGGAGCCAACTGAGTATGGACTAAAACCTACAAGAATTGTAAGAAATAAATCTTTCCTTCCTTCATTTTGGGTGTCAGATATTTTGTCCCAGCAACTAGTAAAAAGTAACTAAGACACATCCCCAGATTATGCTGCATCACCACGTGTACATAGCATCTTATAGAGAATGCATCACAATTTCCAATCAAAATAAGTTACAAAACTCTTGAGGTAACAAAAATCATATTATAGACTTGGAGTGGACTGTGTGTCATAAAATAAGCACGTCTGAAAAGATGAAAAGGCACATAAAACTCAGATTTTTTTCTTTCTTCTATTTACTACTTTTTATTGGAGGGGCCAAGGAGTGTTTTCTTCAATAAATACTAAACTTGTTCTAAAATAGGGAAGCTACCTAATGGGAGCCAACTAATTTCATTACAGTACAAATAATCTTTGATCTTTATCTCCAACTATATGTCTGAGATACCTTACTTTCTAAAACAAATTCTTATCAGAAATGTTTGCAAATTTTGCTGTAAAGCAACAGGTTAAATGAATTTTGTTTCTAAGATCTTTCAAATTCAGAGGTCATCAATCCCTGGGAAATTTAGGAATTTGAAGGATTAGCTCCATTGCTTCTTCAAATAATTCTGGGGATGGCAGCAGGAAAACATATGTCTTCAAAAAGCATTCTGGTGTAAAATCCATATGTGATCTGGAGCACTTTGATTTAGCTGAACACCACTAATGAAGAATTCTTCCTCGTTTAGTGAAAACCTCTACCATTATAGACTTTCTATCACTGTTCTAAAAAAGAAGCACAATGTTTGCTAAACACAATAAATGTCACCGAAGAATTACTTAACCACATTCATATTAACCACCACATAAATATCTAAGTAATCTTTTACTTACAATCTCAGAAGAAAAATATTTCAAATCCATTTAGCGTAATAAAATGCAACCATATATCTTCTGTACCAATTTATAATGAACAGAACCAAAAACAAACATTTTTGATCTATAATTTACGAATGAAAGATTATAAAATCTTGGGAAGCATATCAATTTCTCTTCCTCTCTATATAAGAAATGAGTGATAAACTTAACTGTAAAAATGGTGGCAGCAAGGGGAAGATATTCACAGTAACACAAAATAAGATAGTACATAGTTCCAGGTAAAAGTTACGAGGTATTTGAGAGGGGTGTTAGCTCAATATCACTGTAATATCTCAGATAACCAACTTATAAATAGAAAAACCTTATTTAGGCTCTCAATTTTGCCAGGTTCAGTACACAGGAAGACACGTTCTTTTAGGGTGACAGGGGACAACACATTAGGACAGGAACATGTGGCAAAATAAATCCAATCACCTCATGGGCTAGGAAGTGAAAGGCAAAGAAAAGGGGCTAGTGTCCCCCAATCCCCTTTGAGAGCCCACCCCAGTGACTCACGACCTCCCACCAGGACCCACCTCTTAAAGGTTCTACCATCTCCCATGATTGCCATGCTGGAATCTAAGCCTCTAACATATATATGGGCCTTGGAGGGACACTTAAAATTTGAACTCTAATCAAATGACTATACACAGTCATTTGACTATATATAGAGTGGGTGACTCCGTGCTATATTCTGCAACCCTGAGTAATAGGTTGACAAAAAGAGAAGGGACTTTTACCCCAGTCAAAAGATATAAATGTCTTCCCTTTTATAGAAGACAAGTGTTTTCAGGTGTTGTGTTTCTTCATTGTGTTCAAAGGTAATCCTGTTATGCTCAGCTTCAACAGGCTTTCCAGGAGTACCCAAATAAATTATTTTTACTATCTTCTTAATAGCATAATGCACACAACCTAAAAGTTAGTAAGAATAATGGATGATGCTAATAAATACAAGAGTTGAAATAAAACTTCAAGGCTACAAGGAAACAAATGGCTAAAGTAATGAAGGATCTTGTAAGACCAACAAGCAGAATAAAGGCCCACATTTGTTATGATGCATATCATGATTTCATTCCTCTATATTTTCAAATAATATTCCATTGTATGGCTACCCCACATTTTTGGTCCTTTCAACAGCTGATGGACATTCAGAGTCTTTCCAGTTTTATTATTAACAATGCTGCAAGAACATTAGAGCTCACAGTTTTGTGTTTTTATCTCTGGGAAGAATAGAACTACTGGTTCATATGGCAAATTCGTTTAAGAACTATCTGGCTTTTCTATAAGGGCTGCACCATTTCTCCCCACGAGCAGTATACAAGGGTTCCAAATTCCCCAAATCACTGTTAACACTTTTCAGCATCTGTCGTTTCATTACTGCCCTCTTGAAGAACTGTGACGTGGTATCTGACTGTGGCTTTGACTTCCAGTTCCCTGATGGCTAAGCAGACGAAGCATCTCTGGGCCTCTGTGATTATTGGCTATTTAATGGTAGCTCTGGATTTTTCACACATGTCCTTTATCTGGTCAAGGAAATCCTTTCCACTCCTGGTCTGTTAAGTACTTTTGTACAAATAGGTGTTACATTTTGTCAAATTTGTTGTTTGAGTTTGGAAATGATCACTTTTCAAATATCAGCTGTTTCTTTTGGTAAAAAGCTTTTTGTATTTCTGAAATCTATACAATCCTAAAAATGTGTGATGTATTACGCATACACATTTGGGGAAAAAAGATTACCAGGATTGAACCCTGAGCACATATGCTCTCTACTGACCTCCATGCCCAGCTGTATTCCACATTTGTAGAATAAAGTTCAAAACTATTAACTGTAAACTCTAAGTTATATACCTTTTGCACAAAAATTATAGGAGACCATCATTTTGGACTGATCTTATGCACAAAGCCCTAACAGATAAAATCAAACCAAAATGGAGTCACTCATATAAAATGGCCTATGAGCAACCTGAAACTTTAAAAAAGCAGATTGTTCCAAAACAGACGAGCTGTTCTTGAAAACAGAAGATGTCAGTCTGCATGAGTCAGGTCAGTGAGAACGTGCCCTCTACTTTAACCCTTACCGAAACAGCAATTTGAATAAACCTGATGCTATCCAATCATCGTTCTCCCTCATCATTCTGTATCCTTGTTCCCACCTTACAAAGCCCACTGTTCTGCTCTTGCCCAATGAGAGCTCTAATTTTATTTTATAGAGTGGTTGTCGCTCTGATTCATGAATCAAGATTAGAAGTTCATAAGCTTATGAGTAAATTTGTTGTAATGTTCTGCCATGTCTATAACACAAAGAATCTCAGTTATGTTATTTTGAAAGAGTTTATTACAAAACCTATTATAATTTTTTGATTGGCAGAAATTACGCTGATGATACTGTTGCTGGTATTGCTGGTGTTCTGCTAGTCTACTAGGCTGCTTTTGCAAACTACTTCTTGCCAGCTCCTATTCAGAACAGCAATTCAAACACACACTAACGGTCTACAGAATACCAAAACTGGAGTTAAACCCAATTTCCACAAAGATGACTATAGCAAGAAGCAATTCAAATAAAATAGAAATGGCAATATCCAGGGACCTATGTTCAACTTCCAAATAACCAAATCTGTGCAGCTTTAAAGTAAGCAATGACAAGCAGATCCACTAATAATCAAAAACACCTAAGCCCAGTGGCTCTTGGCAAAACCAGAAACGCGACCTTTTTAACTCCCTTAACTACTTTCTCGTATTTAACAAAATCATTAAGAACAATGGTCAGCCCTGTCTCTATGATGACACCCAATCATTTGGTTAAAATATTTGCACACAGATAATAGCACATTTGCTTATAAAAATTTGAGTCTAATTGGAAATGTCATATTCTGTAAAGGATGTTTTCAATGATGTTAAAATCAGGTAAAGTATATTGAAACACTTTTGAGTAATGGACCTGCAAAATAACCAATACATGTGCCAAGCTTCTGGAAACTGCACTGCTTTAGCTTCTGCCAACTAGAGTAGCGAGAAGTCATACAAAGTTTTATGAGGTGTGTTTTACCAGGGGGAATAAACATATTAAAAGTAGCTCATCATTTAAGATCTTATTAAAAGACTCAATAACATTAAGAACATTTCTTCTGTCTGTTTTTGATGTTTACATAAAAACCAATGTCTTAAAACACGATGTAATGAATAAGATATCATTATTATTAAGATAATTTCAAATATATCTTTCAAAATCAATTTGGGACAAGTCATAGCTAAGTCTCATCATTTCTTAAAAATGTGCACAGTATTTTTACTTTTGCATTGTGCATTCCTCATGTTTGCAATGCCCCCAGCATAAGCTAGTTAGATTCAGAAATCTTGGACCATCTTCGTTTCTTCTCTGGAGATTTCTAATACTGCATATATTGCCAGAATTTCCTTCTCTTCTGGGATAGATAACGAGGAGAAAATGCTTGCAAAATCACAGAGGTCTACAAAAACATAGACTGCATGATAGAAAGACAAGTCACTTCCCTTTTCACCCCAACGTTCAGATTCCTTACCCAGAGGGACCATGCCACATACTGCAGAGAGGAGCCAAAAGGGACTCTTCTTCCACAAAACACTGCACTAATTCTCCAGCATTCAGCTTTTCCACTTGAATGGAATAAAAACCCTTTTGAGAACAACAATTACAATCCCCCATTTTTTTTCTCAGGCATACTATTGGACTTCTTAGTGCATGCACAATGCAAATAAGGCAAGCTTCCTTTCACAGAGTGATTAATATGCAAAGACAGCCTGCTTTTTTAGTAGGATGTGAAGAACCACCAACAAGCTTTTCTAAACCCAGGGGTTTCTACAATTATTTCCACTGTTTATTTTTAAACAGTAGATTATACAATAACACCAAGCACTTTAGCTCTAATTTGCCAATATTTTGTAAACAATGATAATTTAGATTTTTAAACCTTTTGTATCATTTTTAAATCTATGGTCAACTGTTGGTTCCAATGTATCAACTTTTTCTCAAGTCTAGGAAACTTAGTTGGAGGGAACAATAGTAATACAATCTACTTAAGAAAATGCACTTTGTTTTTAAATATTAAATGATCTGTCTGGCATAAGCCTTTGGAAAAGTTGTGAATTTTATGACTGATTATAAATTCCAAGAAGTTACATTTCAATAGTAATCCACCTAACTTATAAGTACTTTTATAAAAATAATGACTTAATTGTAATGTCTGTTTTAATAGAAAACTAAGTAAAATTTGTTCAATAAAACAATAAAAGTTGTTCAATGCTACCAAGAAATCAGAACCTTCATACAACAGATTACATACATATGCACATTTAAAGATCGTTTCTCATTGCATTTAATTTTATTCTTGATATCTATCAAAGCTTTGAAAGAAATGTACACTTATCATAAAATCTAATTTATATGTTCTTAAAGTCTATACAGATGTGGCTTTAGCATACAAAATATAAATGAGATTAGTTCAAAATGAATTTCAGGCAAAATATTTTTACATCTATGTTGATCAACACCAATTATTTTTATTTTTTAATCTTCTTCCAGTAGTCCCAAATTCCAGGACATGTGACTTTTACCAGCCAGTAACATCTGTACACTATTAGAATGTTCTAGACTGTCCTAGAATAGACATTAGCATCATCTCAAGGAAATCAGGGAATCTTTCAAGACTTTTTTCCTAGGATGTTCTAGTGTTCAAGTAGCTTAAGTCAGTAAAACACTAGTATTCTCAAGACAGTATCAGATGCACAATCTACACTACTAAACTCATTGCAGATTTAAATCGTTTTCTTCCTTCATGCTTTTCATTTCTAACTTTCTAATTTAAGAAAACTTTCTAATTTAAGAAAGTTAGAAATGAAAAGATCTAATTTACTTGTTAGCTTATAAAACATAAAAAAGATGAAAGTGAAAACTAAATTAGCAATGAAGTCATCATTTTGAATCTCGGGGAAAATTTTTAAATTAGGTAATCATAAACCCACTGATCACAAACAAAAAGTATAGTACTTATAAATGCATACATAAGTTATAAAAATAATTACATATGCATAATTTATATTTTCTTAAAATATCTCCAACTATATTTATTTTATTATTAAAACCATTTAACTGTCCCAGGTTTGTTTGTAATAGATATACTATTATTGCACAAGACAGCAAAAATATTGCTCAATGTAATGTATTGATTTACCTCCTAGTGACTTCAAAAGTACCTACTCTAAACATCCCTAGAAAAATCAAATAAGTGATTTCACAGGTTCCTTATTTAGATACAGACCTACGCCCAATCACCTCAGTCAATCACTATGTGAAATGTCCTCTTGTAAAAAACAGTGCTTAGACTCTAACTTGGCTGTGAAGTACAAACAATAAAAATATTCTTTGTGTGAGGAAGCAAATGAATTGCCTTCGTGTCCAGTTATCTTAATTGAGTTTGACTGGTAATTTAAATTCTGATTCCAAAGCCAATTTAGCTCAGAATGACCTCAAACTGTAATCTAGGGTAGTTAACCAACTTACTTTCAATCTCTTATCTGCGAAGAGTGTCACACAATGTCTCCTTTCTGGCTTCATTGTGACAGCTGATTTTTTGATGAAAAATTTAAATTTTAAACTTCGTGAGTAAATTGAGCAACATACATAGAAGGAAATCTGAGAAAGGTATAAATAACTCTTAGTTACCTTTTCAAGGTGACCTTGGGTGCCATTCCGGAGGAGTAAATATTACAAATGCAACCAAAACCAGTTTAGAATGTGGTCTAGAATTGTTTACAAAGCTGCTGAATGCATTCACCTTTCACCTCCAACTCTTTAGTCAACTATATGGAATGTAGGTGTTAATTTATAAATGCTGAACTAACTGAATGTTTCTAGTAAACATCCTACGGCCCCACAAGTGTAGGACATGGCCATTTGCAAAAATATTCATGAAACTGCTCTACCCACCACTCTTTAAGTTCAAGAAACTCTGGAATCTTTTGAGAACTCTAAATTTGGAAAAGCGTCTTTAAAAATCATTGATTGTCCTTAAACTCTTTGAACCGTCGAGCTCTTCAAGTTGCCTTGACAGGCTTCTTTTTAGGTTTTCGCCTTTGATGAACCCCTAGAGCATTTACTTTTTCCGTTCAGAACTCTTCTCTCAACAATTTTACACTAAAATATATGAGATAAAAGATTTCGAAAGTCTAATGTGTCTTGTAGCAATTACAAGCCCTCAAAGAGATAGGCAGTCCATAGATCCTGGTCTGCTCCAAAATGAGAGTTAACACTTGCTTCAACTTCACAGTCACACACACACACACACACACACACACACACACACACACACACACACACGGATGCGCGCGCGCACACACACGCACACACAAAGATGTGTGATCACACAAACTATAAGCTACCAAAGGATAGCTTACAGGTATCTCTTCTCTCATCCTCCTTCATCCAAACAGAAGATTGGATTTTTTTTTTAAACTGGAGAGGTTGAACCATAAAGAACAACAGTCACTGCTGACGTCAGACGCAGCTTACTGAAAATAAGGGGAATGAAGGAAATCCTACTTCTGAAAAAGTTTTCTTTCACTCAGAGAAAAATAGTCAGGCTGGCATTCTCCAGGCTGCACAATGTTGATCTCTCTTAAACTGACCACCCAAAAGAAAACATACAGACTAGTGAATGGATGTGGACGCTCCCCACACAACAGCCCAAGTCTCACACAGTCACGCTGCCGAGTGAAGTCCACCCACAGAGCTGCCCACAGCCTCTCAGCATGTCCCTCAGAAATACTGATGGCAGCCAAGGAGCGTTAGCGTTTGAGGCATGAAATCAAACAATCCAAAAGATGAAAAGAGATACTAAAACATAAGAGGAATGCAAGAGAGGAGAAAAAAATACAAGAATACACAATACAAGAAGTAAGGGAAGTTTAAAATTCTCAGCAATATGAAAGGTAATCCAACAAGAAAACAAGAAAAAAAAAAAGAGAAAGCTACGAAAGAGGCATTCAGACAATCATGAAGAGCTCTTAAAAATTTTATCAAAATAGAAAATTCAACAGTAAAATTGGAAAAAGCCTACAAAAGTCTCAGAAAGTAAGTATAAAGAAAAATCAAATTATCATTCCAATTTCTGGTTAGGAATTTCATAAAGCCCAAGATGAAACAACAGAGAAAATATTAAGTGAATAATATGGGAACATTTCTCCGCACTGAAGGACACAGGTTTCTAGACCACAGTGGGCCAACACTAATTGTGTGTGTCTCTGCTGTGAGGTTTAGCAAAAAGTGAGAAAAATTACTGAGCTCACTATGTTCCAGACAGTTGTATAAATTACCTCACTTTGTCCTTCTAATAACACTATTAGGTGGGTTTTATTGTTTTTGTTTCACATCATAAGCTGAGCATTGGAGAAATTAAGTAACTGGCTCAAGGTCATGAATAGCAGGGGAATCATGGTCCAAAATGCAGGGTTTATACCAAAAGACTACGGGATAATGTTGACATTACACACTGCCTCCTCAACACTAAAAGGAAATACTTAAGAGAGATAATTATCAACTCGAATCAAAGAGCCTGCACAGACTTACATCTTCTCATGCCCATGATAACATATCTTTAAGCCTGCTAGAGTGTACCATGAATCAAATTCTCCTAGAGTAATTCTGATTTAACTAGTGATTGGCAGCATCTCGTGTAAACAAAGTCGGTGCTTGCAAACAAAGTACGAATGAGAGAGTATTTTAAAAAGTAGTCAGTGTCAACCCCTTCCACTCTTGATCTGATAAAAATAATACATTCAATCTGTGACAAGCACAAGCATTAGAAGACTGCTATATACAATTACAAAGACTCTTTAAAAGCACAAGTATCATGGCCACTGATTCAAGAAAACAAAAATGTATTGGAAATTATCTTCCCACATTGTAAACATAGTCACTGGGTGGGGAGCCCTTAATCTGATTAATTTCCCAACACATGAATCTGTAGTGTCATCCTTAGCAATGGTTTTCATCACTTGTCCCCTCCCTGGCTCCGCCTGCCATGCGTGAAGCCTCAGCTGAAGCCTTCACCCCGCGGAGCATCCTTTCCATCCGTCCTGGCAGCTGCCTGCCGTGGACATCAGCCCTTCCTCAGCCTTTGACTCCTCAGAACCCGAATTTCACTCCTGAGCTGACCAGTAACCGCGCTCCTGGGAAAGGAATCCAGCTTCCTCCTGAGGCTCACCTTCCTGACACTCTTTCCCACACAAGCACTGCTATCCCTGTTTTACAACTTGAGTATAAAGCAGTCTGTTCTCATAGAAAACTCAGACAACATAAAATGTAAGCTGCTGTCTTCCAGGCTTGGGGATGGGCTACAGTGAAAGACGTGCTTTTTAATAAAATTGTACCTACATAAAGTATTTGTTTCAAGCTTTTGTTCGTTTCACATTATTGCAGTTTTCTAACCTCACTGTTCATGCCACTAAGCTCTGGTTCCCTTTATTTGTTCAATGCTACCTTCTAATAATAGGCAACACACCATTCTGTATGCAACACAATTATGAAGACATAAACACTTCTGGGTATGAAACTGTATCTGAAAAGTACTGGCTTTAATTTTTGATGCTCTCTCTTTATTGAAAGAATCCAAAACTACCTCTGAGCCTTAGTCTTCTGGGCTGGGCTCCCTCCAGCCACCTCCCAACACCCACCACTGTGTGTCTGTCTCACACATCGTTATCCTCTGCAGAGCTAAAGCCTTCCTTCAAGTTTCTGCTCTGACTTCCACTGGCAAGAGCTCTCCAGCCCCCCTTATTTCTAGCAGTCTTTACATTGCCAATGACGTGTTAAGTCCTCTTTTGCTCTGTGTGTTATCTGGGGCAGTTACCTTTTCATTTCTAAGGTTAATAATGCAGAGTTAGAATTTCACCTTCTTTTTTGTTGTTTATTTGGGTTTTTTAATACCTTCAGGCAGCTAACAGACTGCTTAGCAGCTACACGGTGTTTCTGCTGTCACTGCTCCCCTCCTCAGTACCGTCCATGCTGTCCACGCTCTCGAACACTTTCTGTACTAGAGACTCCCTCGTCCTCTCCTCAGCCCTGTATTCTCACTTCTATGACAGCAGCTGTCAAATTCTTCTGATCTGAGTCGTGTAACACTCTCCATCATAACTGGGTAATGTGTTACACGCACGCACAGACTGAAACAAGCTTTTCAAAACACATTTACCCTCGCTGTATTAAAAACACACTCCTTTCTATTCTGTTCCGTCTCACTCTATGCCTTCCTCCTTTCATCCCTCCATTTTTTTGTTTTCTTCCGTCTTTCTTTTTACTTCCTTTTTTCTTCCTCTTTTTTTCTAACATATGTAGAATTCAACTAAAATGATTTAATCAGACACAGTTTAGGAAATACAGATCTATAAATTAAGATATTAGTATGTCCAAATTTTTCTACAACCTGTCTCTTAATTTCCCCATCATATGACAGCAGCGCGATTATTTTGTCCTACTAAGTTTGCAAGTTAATCTTTCTCTCTCCTGCATCTTCCACTTCGGATCTGCCATCTCCCCTCACTGGCTGTTCCCCATCTCTAACATCTCATCTGTGTCCATTTTATCCATATCCACAGTCATCAGAAGTGCCTAATTCCCAAATTATCTGCTTGATAATATCCATCACAGTTGTTCCTAAAAGTCCTTCTGGTACACAAAATCTGAATTCCATAAAACTGTTCAGCTACCTGTCTATTAATAAGGTACAAGTAAAATCTTTTAATTTGCAATGCCTTTCACATATATTCTCTTATTGTGTTCTCCTTTTCAAATAAGAATGTTGCAGTTCAAAGAGAGTATATATAAATTCACTTAGTTAGAAGCAGAGCCAAATCTCAAATCCAGATCTTTCGACTGTAAAGCCCAAGAGTACCCGTTCCTCACCACCAGTCTTCCTAGGACATAGAGCAGGTTCTCTCCTAGGACTTAACTGGCTCCCCTTCTCGCATCCTCTAGTCTCCGTCTTTCACACAGCGAAAGAATCCTTTCGTTCACCCTCTATTCTGTCCAGCTACTATGGTGGACGCTACATATTACCAAAATGCCCATTAAGTACACAGTGACCCCTACTTACTCCATCTGCTAACTCACAGCTGGTCTCAGAAACAGCCTGCTCAGTCACGTGCTCAGCTGCTATGACTGACCACCCCCTTGAATGTTTTTAAACATGACTTCCTAATGTCTTAACAGCACCCATCTCCTAATATTTAAAATGTTAACATGGCTGCCCAAAAACCCAGCCTTTAGTGCTTCTCAGAGCTCATTCTTAGCTAGTCCATCTCCTCTGGGGAAACAGGTCCTCCTTGACCCAGGTACCCCAAGTCTCTGCAGGCCTAGCTCAAACATTTTCTGCACCTTATTCAGACATTAAACCCACCCAAAGTGACTTCTGCATCCCTAGGCTAATCTCAGAACTGCTGCTTGACTCCTTTTTAAAACTCTTATTCATTACCGACTTTCACGATTTTTTTTCTTTTGGGGGGAAGGGAGAGTAGGAGATTTCTTAACTGTTGGGAAAAAAACTTTCTCCCCAACCATGGAAAAGCTTCTGCGGGGCTACTACAGGGTTTTTAAATTTCTTCTGTTTCCACTCTCATCCTCTAGCTCAGAATTCAGAATCTTAGATGTCTTATTCCCCAGGCACCTTTTAACAAACATTTTTTTAAAAATCTCTATTGAAGACGAATCTTTTTTCCCCAGAACTAGGGGACTAAACTCAGGGGCTTCACATTGAACTACATCCCCAGTATTTTTTTCTTTTTAGTTTTTAAATTCTTATATTGAGACAAGATCTTGCTAAGTTGTCTAGGCTGGGCTTCAACTTGCAATCCTCCTGCTTTAGCCTTCCAGAATGCCAAGATTATAACAAGATGAATTTATTATAAGCACCCACTGGGTGCCTACAGTTTATCTGCTTCTCATGTTATTTTATTTAAATTTACCAAATCCCATGGAGGAAGGTGTCATGAACGCTATTTTCCAGATGGGAAACAGGTTCAGAGAGAAACAACCTGCAGAGTACCAGCATGGCCAGTACACACTTGAGATTCCAAATATCTGAGTTACATTCCTCCTGCAAGATGCTCTCTCCCTACTTTGGTCAGGCTCACGTCTGTGCAGAAGGTACAGGAGCCCATCTGTTGGCACATTTCCCGATGCTAGGTGCAGCCACCTCGTGTAAGTCACGGTCCCAGATCACCTACTGTAACCCTTCACTTTTCTCAGCCTCAATTTCTGCTTCAAGACCTACACAATCTGGCCTTCCAGCGCTGTTTCTCCTGCTCTCCCTCCGCCTCAGGGAGCCCTGCTCCTCAAACCTGGGTAAATATTCTGCTCAGTGAACCTGCTCTGACAGAATCACCTTCACCTGTCCGTCTTGCAAAAGCAAACTCATCTCCAAAGCCCAGCTCCAGGGAGTCTCACAAATAGTTGATTTCTTCCTGTCTTGTGATCCAGCAGTGTTTAAGTTCTGCCTCTGTTTGTAACTATAACACGCCTGTGGAGACAGGGGCATTTCTTCTTGGGCTATATAATTCGAACCCCGGCACAATGATTGAAGCTAAATTACCTTCTCCAGGGAAAGGGTCATTCAAGGTTCATTCAAGGTTTCTTGAGGTAAGAAAACCAGGAATGTTTGCTGTCATTTAATGTTTGCTGAGCCTAGGAGTAAATCACTTAAAATAAGAGTATCACCTGTCCTTCCTATTCGACACTTGTTTAAATGTTTCTTCCTCCCCTCCCCAACCACCAGTGGAAAGTGGGCTTCACCCTAACAAACTCTCAAAGTACCCTCTTCCCTGCCTTAGTTTTAAACTAAGTATGTCATTACGACTGTGTGTGCTTGGCGTGTTTAACGGCTGTATTTCTGTACAGTGCTAGACTGGAGGCTTCATGGAAACAGATGTTGTATTCTTAGTGACCAGTCCATTCCCAGTTACTGGCACAGAGCAGATGTAACTAAATGTTTACTGAATAGGTGACAGGAAACTAACTGATATCATAGCTCCATAAACCACACAGTGGTCATTAAGATATAATTATTGGTATTATATAACCTGTTTATCTGCTGTTAAACCTTCATTCTCTTATCTAATATCTTTTGGTTTTGGCTGGCAAAACTTCCTGGTCCTAGAGAATGGCACTTATGCCTGACTCATTTGAATAATAATAGCAACTACTATTTTATTCTGGTTAGTAATTTACAAAAATATCAGCAAATAGCGAAACACCTCAGATCTCATTTAGGACTGTTCTGGAAAATGAGCATTAAAGAGCTCATTTTTAAAAAAAAATAACTCTTGATTTTGATTCATTATTCTAGTCCTCCAAGCACTATACAAGTAACTATCACCAAGTCCATGTTTAGCAAACTGGGACAATTAGCCTATATTCTCAAGCAAATGGATCCAGAAGCAGAGCTGCAAAAGCCAAGTGGGGTCTTTCAAGGCTGCTCAGCGATGGGCTATGGGGGCCTCCGATGTGTTCTCCTGATTATGTGCTTTTTGAAAGTTTTTTGCCAAAGCCAGAGAGTTTTGAATTTCCCTTAAAGAAATCCCTCAAAATTGCATGCTCCCCAGGATCCATTAAACCTTGATGCATCCTTTTACTAATAGCTTTCAATGTTGTAAACAAACCATTCTTCCTTCTAAAGTATTGACCACCAACACAATGGTACACACACATTTAGCAACCGATTTCTTAGGTCTGGTTCTAATCACTGAAGACTTCATAGTCTCATAATATCCTTTCATAAATCCTTCCAGAAGGAGAGCACTACGTCTAAACAATTATTTTTTTCTGGATTCATATACATACTTCTTCATATAGTGGAACATTGCACACCTTGAAATTTTGTGGTCTCTAAAACTATCATATAAACTCTACAAAGTAGGCATCACTGATTTCTCCCCAACTGGAGTCAATAACTTGTCCAAGATGTAACAGTCAGTAAGGGATATGGCGAGTGCTTCACCCCAGGATTGTATACTTCTTTTTTTTTTTTTTCTTTTTTTTTTTTGTCTTTTTCCTTTTTATCGGTACCGGGGATTGAACTCACGACTGCCTGCTTGCAAGGCAGGTGCTTATGCCGCTGAGCTAAATCCCCAGCCCCTAGGATTGTATACTTCTTAATCTCCGTGTTCCACGACAACCAGGGTTCCCTGACAGAAGCAACTATGTCATCTCATCCTTGTGACACCCACAGAGCTGATGATTAAAAGCTGGCACTCAATAAACATATTCGATCAACTATTTTAAGAGAATGCCTCATGTAACACAATCTCAAACAATGTGGCATTACTGTGACGACTCCTAAATGGTGAGGTAATCAGAAACCAAAAGAAGAGAATCACATGCAACAAAAGGCTTTTTATGCATTATCTCAGGAAGACATAGAAAGGGCAGCCCAGATGTTGCCAATGTTTGCAGCTACAAATCAAAATAGATTCATTGAGAGTATGTCGCAGAATACAGGTCATTAGCCACAATCTTTGAATTCAAGAAAATATTACACGTTTGGAAGGTAAAGAATACGCAACAGGTTCATTAAAAGCTTTTTTTCAAAAACACACATACACAAGACAAATCTTTTAGCCCAGTCCTCTTTACGTTCCTGACTGTTCAGAAGCTACACTAATATTGCAGGAAGGGCACAGGTGTGTCAACCCAGCTGAAATTCAGCAGACCCAGTGGCCAGGTGTAGACATGGCCTCAGAGCACTGTAAGTGCCGCGGATTGAAACAGTCTGGAAGGCACCATTTGGCACCCGCACCAGCATCAAAAGGCAGTGTTCCTAATGAGCATCTGCAGCTGAGAGACAGTGTTTCAACAACACGAAATGAAAGGGCATAAAGGCACCACTGCCAACGCCAAATAATTTACATCCCTTTACATCAGCAAAGGGTTTTAAGGTTTGGCCACAGCGGTTAGTAAGAAGAACCCAAGCTGACATGACTGTAATCCTGACTTACTTCCACATTTTGTCACCCCATAGTAGCAAGCACACCTACTGTATCATTGAATATACTTTCACTAAAATGTTTTTTAAAATTAAAAACTCTAGACCTTATAGAAATCTAATGCTCAGAATCTTTGCCCAGACACTTTTTGAGTAAATTGAGAAACATACAATTCTCTTGTGAGTTTACTAAGAATTCCTCCTTTTTAACCAAAGATGTTAAATATACAGTCTTTTTAATTCAAAACTCCAGTGACCATTATTTTATACAGCTAGATGATTAATACTCTCAAGTTTTTAAATCCATTACTCACTTTTAAAATTATTATAAGGCTATTTCTAATATCCAGCCATTTCTCTTACAGCTCCAGGCATTTCTTCGTCTATATATCTGTTACATTATTAAACTGAAGAATTATCAATTGTGGAATATACATTAAAATATTTATCTTGATACCATAAAACATTTGTATGCTCAAACACTCAGGGCTTCAATAATGCAGGAGAAGGGTCCTTTTAAAAATGTCTTTGTCTCCTCCCAGGCTGCAATTGTTCTTAGCAGACAGACAGGGGCAGGTGTGGCCCTGCCCTTCCCTCCCTGCCAATTGGTTCTGGTTTCCATCCCCACAGACCCAAGACTGTCAGGGAAGTTCAAACTGTTCTTTAGCAACAGGTTGTCAGTCATCATTTCACATGCATCAGGGAGGACTGTGGAATATCCCTGGAGGCCTGCCAGCAGCCTTGAAGCCACCTTCCCTCTGGACTTCAGCCACAGTTCTTCAACACTGACAACATAAATACAGAGAACGCATCAAATTCACACTTCATAGAGGCTTCAGCATCTTAAAAAATTAAGTGGTTGCACCAGAAACTCCAAAACCCATATTTTAAGTACTGTGAAGTTTACCAAATGCTGTCTGTAGTTTAAAAGGATGTGTCACATCTAAAGATTAGTTTTCAGATTACTCCTGCTTTTTGATAGATAGTTAAGACACTGTTATCCATGACAAAATTATGGATATTTACAAAAAATTACATATTATCTGAAGAACTCAGCTAATGATAAATATATTCCAAAAAGAAGCACCATCAAAGTCTTCAAATTTGGGGGCTCCATGCAATAAACTTCTCTCTCTGCTTGCTGCATGGAGTAAACACCCACATCTGTTACCAACAGCACATCCATACCGTGACTTTTATGTGACCTTATGTGGCGGTGGGGGGCTTGTGGACAATTGCTACCTTACTTCTTGAACTGTCAAGCTCAAGGAACCAGTCACTAATTAACAAAGTCAGCTTAATCAGTAGACAAGGAAGACCTGAAGGAAACTTCTTTAGTCAGAAGGGAGATATTCTGCTATTCCACCTTATTTAAAAGTAAAAACAAAAACCTGGACAAATGTATTTGGAAAGAAGCCATCAAGTTCAGTCACTGGAGCGAGACAGAAGTGGGCAAGTTTGAGATTCATGAAGAGTTAGGCAGCTGGTAGACCTTTAGGGCATCATTAGTGGGAGGAGAAACTCAAAAGTTTAAAAAAATGACAGGTATAAGTATGCCTGCACTATCTGAATTACTTTCTCTATTTGTTTTTAGCTGTTAAATTTTAAATGAACTCAAGTTAATTTCAGTATTTTAAATATGCTAATACTTACTGAAAGAATATTGTCTGCTGGGATTTTGGATAAAGTTGTTAAAGATTATTCATATTCTCAAATATGGCTTTATTAGAAACAGTGAGGATCAAGTTTCCCATTTTAAAATGAAAATTAAAGGAAAAATATAGCTCATTGTAATCGTGCTCACAAGGACCTTTAATGAAAAGAATGTTAAATCATTTAGGAATGGTATTAAATATATCTCATATGTATATTACCTTTCATAAAGTCGCAAAGGTGTCTTTGTTCTTAAACTGATGCTATCTTGCTAAAAAAAAAAAAAGAAAGACAGAAAAAAAAAAGAAAAACTTCTATCCATCCCTGGCTCTTGGAAGTTAAACGGGCACAAGACCGTGAAATCATCAAGTAAACATGTGACTTAACCATGCCAAATCCTTCAAGCAAACAAATTTTCCACACAATATCCCAAAAATGCTGCTAACAGACTCCAATGTATTATGTAGTTCTAAAACCTTTCATTTAATTTCTAAAGCGCTGAAGACCCCAAAATGAGAGGGGCAGCCACCTGGCTTACTTCGTATGATAAAGGCATCCTTTATATTTAAATTTTCCTCCCTATCCACCAAGTACAGCACAGAACTGGAATCCCCACTGTCCCTAGGGATGCTACAACGTTTGAGCGGTCCCTCCCAGAGAAAAAGCAAGAGAAAAAAGGGTGTGTGTGTGTGTGTGTGTGTGTGTGTGTGTGTGTGTGTAAAACACTGTTTTTGTTTTCATTCTGACCCTTTAAGGTGAGTTCTCTGGATTTTTTTCATCCATGTTAAAAACAATACTTCAAAGGAAATAATTTCTCTCTATAAAACCACACAACTTCTTTCTTTTGTGTAGCAAGCTGGTTGTATTTCTCATTCTGCTTTCTTCCCAGCCTCTGTCTCCGTTCTGGGGGCTTTCATTCCAGGGCACACTGGCCTGAAAGTCACCCTGGGGGAGGACCCAGGGCCATGCCCCGTGGGATTCCCTGGGCGTGTACCTGTCACCAGCGGGATGCAGACACCGGGGTCACACCCATCAGGGGAAGACGGCCGCGCGACCTCCCAGCTCCCGGAGGAAGCCCTGGCGATCCGGGCTCCACAGTGTCGCTCCCACGCAGAGCCGAGCGAGGCTTTCCACAGACACACCCCCTAGGGGAGAGGTCGCACCTCCGATCTCAGCGACCGCACAGCGAAGGGCATGACCCCGGCCGCCAGGCCAGCTGGTAGCGGGATCCAACCCCCGAGCCCCGCCAGTCCCGCCCGCTGCCCTGCGCCCCCCGCCCCGCCCCCGCGTCGCCCCGCCCGCGCACGCGCGCCCGTGCGCCCGGCCACCGCGCGGGGGCCTCCCGGGGGCGCCCTCCCAGGCGCTGCACGCGGGCCCGGACGCCCCGGCGAGGGTGCGCGCGCAGAGGGGTGCGGGGGTGCCCGGGCCGGCGCGGAGGTGCGAGCGGGCGCGCACGGGCAGGCTGGACAGACAGAAGCCGGGTGACCACCTCGTCTCCATGTCATCAGCCGGAAAACTGCCGGGCGGGCGGGCACGGAGGCCTCAGGGCGGGGTCGCTCCCGGCGGGGCCGAGCCAGACCGTTGGGCTGGAACACCAGGGGACAGTGCTGGCAGCCAGCTCGGCGGCCACCCGCGCCGCGATAAAAGCCTCTCGCGGCTTCCCGCCCAGCCAGCCTCGCGCTGATTGGTCGCCATGGGAGGGACCGAGTTGGCTGCGGGCGGCGGCGAGCTGCTCCCCGCGGCCCGCGCAGGAGACGCACCGGGTGCCGCTCCCGACCCGCTCTGCGCGCTCCCCGCCCGGGCTGGCTGCCCGCGGCAGGTACGGCGGCCGCCGGCCTGGGGACCGCGACGCACGGCGCTGCTCCCGTGGCTTCCCAGCACACGCCCCCCGCCCCAAATGTCAGCCCAGCCCACCCAGCTCTTTGCCTCCCCTGCCTCTTTTCTTTCTCCCCGCCCGCCGGACAGCAACTGAGCGCAAATCCTTGGGTGGGGTGGGTGGGGTGGGGTGGGGAAGCAGCTGGAGGGGAGGGTGGGCAGGCACGGAAGAATTTCCCAGGGAGGCCGAGGTGATAACAGCCAAAATCAAGAGCGCCTCCCTCCAGCGTGTCTGCCTGCCCAGGTCCTCTGGGCGGCGGCGCAGCCCTGCCACCCGCGGCAGCATCCCTGCTCTCCTTCCGAGCTCCCTATTGTTCACACTTTGCCAGGATCTGGAACCTCGCCCAAAGAAAGGAGACTGGGGCGAGGTGTTTCGGGGCGGCTACCTGCCATTCTTTTCTGGTACTGTGCAATAAGGAGCTCGCAGTGCGTGTAAAGGCACACGCGCGCGCACACGCGCGCACACACCAGGCAGCCTGGATCACGCCCTCCTCGCCCTCCGCCCCTCCGCACTTCCTCCTGTCAAAACGCGGCGCTCGACCCTCCCATCCCTCTTGCTCCGGGCCGAGGGCAGGCTTTGCAACTAACCAGCAATTTGGCAAATGAAAAACTAACGTCATAAGGACAGGGGGTGCAACAACGGTCACACAGCCCTGCGATTCTGCCCATTTCGCCCCATTTTGCAAACCGTTATTCAGCCCGGGGCGGCGGCGGGAGTGAGGGGGTGGGTTAGCGAAGCTCAGCGAGCCTCAGTTTATGACACCCAGGAAACAACGATGGGGGCGGCTGCCCAGCCTCATTGTTCCCCCTTCCCGGAACCGAGGCTGACAAGCCCCTTCCCCGCGGTGGGCGAGCCTGAGCGCCGGCACCACAGAGCCACCACATCGCCCGCCTTCGGAGCAGGAGCGCTGCCCGCTGCCCGCTGCCCCTGGACCAGATCCCCAGGAGCCAGCCGCTGGCTCTCATCGCTGCCCGCACACAAAGTGGGAAGGGCGGGCGCGCTGGCTGGGCGCTGGGCGCTGGGCGCTGGCGGCGCGGGGAGACAGCCCGGTCCAGCGCAGCCCGGTAGGGCGCAGGGCGCGGGGTTCGCCTGGGCAGCAAGGGCGACCCGCTTCTTTCACAGCTCCACGAAAATGACCAGGCTTAGGATTCCACATAAAACCACCCCCAAATAACAGCGTTATCCTGGAGAGGATAGGGGGAAAGAGACAATCAGCAGATCAGATGTAAAATCAAAAAGCAAAAAATGTACCTGCAGTTCCCAGGAAAAACAAAGTCCAGATGAGATCCTTAGTTTGCAGCATTGTAATCTGCTGTCTGGGAGAGATGTTCTTGCCGCGGTAAATTCTATGCCCAACCTCTCTTGCAGCGAGTGTGGACGGCGACAGAGCAACAGACCTAGGGGCAGACAATTGCCAGGCTGAGTATGATTATTTTTGCAGAATTGTTTCCTGCCAGCGGCTGCGGAGCTGCGTTCACGCGCTGATCGCAGAATGAGTGACAGTCCCAGCCTCAGCACACTCGCAACTCGGAGATCCTTGCGCTGGCCCGGGTTCGCTTTGATGGAACTGGGGATGGGAGCGGGGGGCGGGGGTGAGAACCTCACTGTGTCCTTCCACCACGCCGGCCACAAATAGTGCCGAACATCAAGGAGGTAAGAGACAGGGGAGGCAGATGCGGGCGCCTGCAAAATGCGGCCTGGAGTTGCCGAGGGAGCAGGGTTCTCCGCCTGGAAATCTAGGCAGAGCAGGGATTGCATCTTTACACACTTCTCCCTCCGGCCTCCCGCCGCCGCCTGCCATCCAGGGCTCCTTAGTCAAGACTTTGCATATTTTTATAACTAGTATAGAACAAAAACAAAGTCTTAGATTGTCCAGGTCTTCAAAGTTGTAGAATCCTTCCATTTAGACCCTAAGATCTTTGTGGCACAAGAACATGCCAGAATTTCATTTTCTAAATGCAAAAATCAAAAATTTGGAGAGGGGTGGGGTTTGCCGGTGCTGGTTTTGTTTGTTTGTTTGTTTTCTCCTGCTATAAAGTGTGCACTTCATGAAAGGGCCAACGCACATCAACTCCAGCAGGCAGATCCCAAGGGAAGGAGGTGAGAAGCTTCTTAAGATAGAAGAAAAAGCAAATGTGTAGAAAGAAATTCTAGAAATAACTGGAGTAAAATATTTCCGTGTTAATAAATGCTGACCTCTGTGCTTTTTTAAAAGCCCAAGTCTTCTATATAGGCATTATGACATAAGAGCCATATTAACATTTTCCACCAAAAGGACGTGACTTCAATTCTGAGGGGTATTAATGAAGGAGATCCCTGAGATACCAACACAACTGCTTCAGCTAATCTCACAGCTGTGTTTTAAAAAGAAAAGGATGGGGAAGCAGAGCAAAAATAAACATTTTTCAGCACCTGCACAGTGCAGGAACTTGTAAGAAACAGAGGTGAGGGTGTCCTAGATGTGGGGTTGCCCACAGTGCAAGCCTCTAGCCAGACTAAGACACCAACACACCGCCTCTACCAACCACCGCCATTTTCTCTAAGCTCCTGATTCCTAGGGTTGTAGCACATTTTAAAAATGAATCCTCACTGACACCAACAACTCTCCACCCGCCCTTCACCCCTTCTCCTGCTGTGCTTTCCCAAGCAGGCCTCAACAGCGCACTGGGATTATACCCTAATCCGTACAGTCTACCCAAAACCAATCTTTCATGTTTACTTTTGTAATGTTTACCTTACAGCAATTATAAACAAATGAAAAATACCAGAAAGTAGAAAGAAAGCACTAAAATTAACCCCAAATCCCACAGATTCCACAGATATTTGCGGATTTTCCAAATCTTCTGTATATGCATAGGATTTTTGTAATTGACACCTTATAGTAGCAATTAGGAGCCTGCTGGTTTTCCTGAACGTTTCATTATAAAAATTTCCATGGAGCTATTAAAATGCTTTCTAAATATTTTTTATAGCTATATAATATTTCTTCCTGTGGATGAGACCCAGAATTATTGCTTCTCTGTGCAATTTATGCGCTGCACAACTATGGAGGGTTCTTCTGACACCCTACCCACCCACTCACCATATTGTTATCATGACAGTTTTTCTGGCATCAGTGGAAGGAAAGCTTCAGGGAAGAACTACTATTTTCTCTTGCTTTTTTTTTAATTGTGCAAAAAATTTATTAAGGAGTGCTTTCAGGGTCATCACCTATGTGGGAAAGAAACGGACTGGAAAGAAAGAGAAATCGTGCCATGTGGGCACAAGAAGTCCTCAATCAGGTCTTGAAGTGTCTGACCCTCATTGCAATATCTTCACATTGACAAAAGACTGCATTCAGGTCGTCCTGAGAATGTGACCTGATCTTGGGAAAGGTGGCTGTCTCCATCCAAGGGCGGTGTCCAAGGTAGAAGTGACAGATGAGCCTCCGCAGTCATCTGGGGAAGAAAGTTCTCTGGTCTGGAAGGAAGAGCCTGGGTGGTTTAGCAGACCACTGGCTATCAGAGCTTAGCTCTAACCAAAATCTAATTTGCATCAGTTAATTTTTTCTTTTTATTGTGGTAGAACATAAAATATAAATGGCGTAAAACTTACCATTTCAACATGTGCAGTCCTTGACTCTGAGCACCTTGGCATAACTGTGCCACCCTGGCCTTCCTCCATCTCCAGACGTCTTTCATGCTCCCCAGCTGAAACTCTATGCACGTGAAAGACTCTCAATTCCCCCTGACGCCGGCCCCTGACAACCGCTGTCCCACTTTTTATCTCTGTAAGCTTAAATCTTCTAGCTACATGGTGTAAGCCGAGTCATATAGTACTTGTCATTTTGTGACTGGTTTGTTTCACTTAGCATCTTCAAGGGTCATCCGTATTGCAGCATGTGTTAAAATTTCTTGTGTGTCCAAAGCTGAATATACCACCATATGATCGTATGGAAACTCCATGTTTTCTTAGTCACTTATCTGTCAACAAAACTCAGATTCAATGGATTTTTTGTAAATACCTGGAAGCAGAATTGTTGAATCATGTGGTCATTCTATATTTTTTGAGGAACTTCCGTACCAATTTCACCGGAAATGCATATCATTTACATCCCCACCAGAAATGTACCAGGGTTCCAGTCTGTCTTATCCATGCCAATACTGATTATTTTCTTTCTGTTCCTCTTTTCTTCTAACAGTCATCCTAATGGGTGTGAAGTGGAGCCTCATGGTGGTTTTTACTTTTATCTAATCTTTGCTTTTTTTCAAATACATAATGATTTTGAACAGCTTTTCATGTACTTGTTGGCCATTCCTATATCTCTGTAGAAGAAATATCTATTTAAGTCTTTTGCTTATTTTTAAATTAGATTGTTTTAGTTGTCGGTAAATTGCAAAAAATCTCCACGTGTGTTATGGTTTAGATCTAAAATGTTTCCCAGAAGCCTTGAGTTCAGAAGTGGGGCTATGGAAAGACGGTTGGATCATGGCAGCTGGATACTCATCAGTAAATTAGTTCATCGATGATCTCATAGCTGAGTGTGCTACTCGGAAGGAGGTGGGTCAGTAGGAGTGTGCTCTAGAAGGCTACTCTTGGCCTGGTTCCTCCCTTCCCTCCTGCTTCTTGGCTGCCATGATCAAGAAGTTTTCTTTCTTTGGGTCCCTCCACCTTACCCTTTCTGTCTTGCAGTCAGATGACAATGGACTGAACTGACTGGAAACTGAGCAAAATAAATTCTTCAAAATTTTTGTGTTGAGTGTTTTGTCCAAGTGACAAGAAAGTGACTAATACGATTTGTTAGCTGTCAACCTCTTACCAGAATGCAACTGGCAAGTATTTTCTCTCATTCCACTTTGTACTCTTAGTATTTGCATAGATATAAAAGTTCAAAATCCACCTTAGTCTATCTTTTCTTTTGTTGTTTTTGCTTTTGGTGCTATATTCAAGAAATCAGTGCCAAATTCGAATCCTTAGATTGACCCTTAAAATTTTCTTTGAGAGTTTTATATTTTTAGCTCTTACAGTTAACTCTCTGATCCATTTTGAATTAATATTTATTGAATTTTTTAATTCCAGTGTAAGGATCAAATTGTGCGTGTGTGTGTGTGTGTGTGTGTGTGCCATACGCACATGTACCCAGTTCTCCTAACACCATTTGCTGAAATGACTATCATTTTGCTATCAAATGAGCCTGGTACTTTTGCAAATTTCACTTGACTATCTATGCTGGGGTTTATTTTTGAACTGCCGATTCCATTTAATTGGTCCTAATTCCTGTCTTGGTGCAAGTACAGCATGGT